TCATAAAGGCTTAGTCATGTCTCTTGACCAAGCAATGAGCTGGTGCCCTGACAGTGAGGCCAGCTTCATGGTGGCATAAGGTGAACAGCTAGATGGGTGGCCAAAGTTTGGTATGGACATATGGAGGTAGTGATGGGATAGCTAGGTTGGTCAGCTGATAAAGGGTCCCAGCTGTCCCCTTGTGGCCTCTGGTCATGGCCTTGACCAGACAGTGGCTGTCAGTGTTTATTTAAGCTCAAATCCATGAGTTTTTCTAAATTTGTGTTTTAAAATTCCTTCTATCTGTGGCTATGCAAAGAGTCTGCATTCAATTCCCTCTATGGTAGCAAATACTCTTGATTCTGGCTTCAAAGGAAGACAAGCAATTTTGCCCCCTCCAGAGTAGTGCTGCTTACATAACACAAGAAGCAAATTTGACTTCTGCACTCTTGTGTTGGGACCCTTGTGACCAAATGAAATAATTCTGTTTCAAGCATGATTGCATGTTTTATTTTCATTTCAGTTTCAAGAATAATGTTTCCATTATTAATATTCTCATAAATAAAATCATGATGAAACAAAATGATAGCACAAGAACTTTGATTTGTGATTCCATTTGATCCCGTCTAAATGCTGTGTAATAGGGTCCATGCCATAGAATCAAAGAGGTGTGAATGGAATTCAGCAGACCCAAATGGAACTGTTTGAGCATAGAGCAGGTGCAACCCTGGCACAGCATTCTGTTTCTCTAAATTCAGGTGGGGTGAACCACACTGCCAGGCCTTATTCCCGGTGCAAGAACCCCTGACGAGCTGTCCCATCACGGCCTCCATATGGACGAGGGCCCACTGGACGAACCGGAAGCTTGGGCGATGTCGGGGTCGATTTGCTCCCCCTCTTCAAGCCTGTGATTGCTGGACCGACTTCAGCGAGTCCCTGCAGAAGGGGAGGAAGAGGGAAGCGTTCCAAGATAGACGTAGACGGCTCGTCAATGGCCGATATAGGCGATGGTTCTTCCATGGTCTGGGCGTGGTGCGTGAAAGTGACCGAAAAACGCGGAATTCTGTTTGTTTCGAAGACTGCTTCTCTTCGGAACTACGACAGGAACCGGTTTGCGGGTAACCAGCGGGCGCACGGGGGGCAGAGGAACCTCTGGTGCGTCGGCAAAGAAAGTCGATTTCCTCTTTCGACTCTCGAAGCTGTATTTCGAGGCTGTAGAGCCAGCGCTATACTGTTGCTGCGATAGCTCATCTGCATCGTGATTCGAAAGAGCAGGGGTTGGCATCTGAACGGTAATTGAGGGAGGTAACGATGGTCGTTTATTTCATCGAGGTGCCGGGTCGAGGCAGAATGGGTGTGAGCCAGGAGAAACCGATGCCCGCTTGCCTTCTTTCTTGCTCAACACGGCACCACCTTGGCCATTCATCCTCGGTGACTGCTCTATGTCGTGACTCTCCGAAGTACGTCGGCACCAATAGTCGATGAGCGTCCTCCATTGGGCTGTTTGCAATACCTTGCTTCCCCAAATGAGGATAAGACCATTGACAAAACCTGTTTCCCCTTGTGAGCATAACACCGGAAAGGAACACTAATGACGAACCAGTTAGTGAAAGGATATTCCACGAGATAAGGAAGGCGAGAGATGACACCGGGAAGCCAGAGAGTGAAACAGGTCTGCAGAGCGTGATTGGCATGATAATGACAACGTAAGGTGATATTTGTGTGGCGTATCGTTGACCATCGCTCATACCTAGCGGATATCTAGAGGTAGTCAGTATGGCCGTCGATTTAGTCTATCCATTGTACTTACGAGAACATTTTCTTAACTACAGATCTGAAGCCGTGCTTCATACCGCCAAGCGACTGTGTCCGAGCCGGTTACTTTCTCTGGCGATATCGCAAATGAAGACCATGAAATACAGAACCGCAGAGGACAGAGCAGTGAGGACGATGAACAAATAATGGAACCAGAATTAGAATTAGGCGTAGGGATAGTAGATCGAGCACCATAGCGGACCGTTATCAGAGAACACTGGGCCGTAGAACGAGATGCCGTTGTTCCGCGGGACAACAACAGGTTCAGCGAATGCTGCTATGATGTTAGCGCCCATAATCTCAAGACACCGGAGGACGCTGACCGAAGAACAGGATGAAGAGCCGCCCAAGAGCCAACGCCAGGATGAGAGCTTTTGTGGGGAAAATGCGATGCAGAACGAGCGTTCGAAATGCATGCACAGCTATTACAGTACCTCCAACGGCAGATCCGACATCTCCGATCTGAAAGAGCCAGCCTGGAATCGTAATCATCATCCTGCCACAGGGAAGCTATGAACAAACGACTTTACCTTGCGCTGAACATGCTGCAAGCACCTGCCCGAGGACTGACATGGTCCCACTTGCGTCAAGATCGAGTGATGCAAAACGCTGAGACCAAGCAAGTCACATTCTTGTTCTCGACTGATCTATTGTATTGTCTTCGTCTTAGATATCTATCCGTGTACTTGATGTGCAAGACGGGTTCCAAAACGTGCTCAGCAACAAGGAAGAAGGCAAACCCACTTGTAGAAAGTACGTTGTCAGATGATGTCTCAGTTCCTGAACCACGACGCACCTTCACGTTACAGGCCTAGACCAGATACCAGCTTCTCAACAAGGGCTGGGAGGAGAGAGCAACGCGTACGTTAGATTGCGGTCTGAATGCGTGACGAGGACGGTTCGTGAGACGGTGAGAGGGAGACATAAAACTACAGGCGGAGTCATAATTTGATACTTCACCTGCCCTGAAACCACAACGAACCTTCGGATAGACGTATGGCAGGTGTTGAGCGATGCCTATGTTTGTTCATATGGCAGCAGGGGGCGAGATAGGGAGCGATAGGGTCGACGTAGTACAGGTGTGGAGCTGGGTTGAAACCAAATGCCTGCCCACTGCTCAGGAACGACATCGATCTGGAGACGAGCGATCAGATGCACTCTTCATTGTGAAGCCACGACGCACCTTAGATAAGAGATCACAGCGGCTGACTGAGTGACGGCGGCTGAGATTCTGGGAGGGCGTTCGCGGGCAACGTCCAGCTGCTTCATAATCAGATTGGACCAGTGCTGTAAACCGTTGGTTCCTTCCATTTGTGCATGCATGGAACAAAAAATCTGCTTGTCCTGCATTGGTAGAGGTTGACGAACGAAGATAATTGCCGACGTACCTCATGTCTCGATTTGGGATAGGACGAATATGAACGAACAGTTCAAATGTGAGGTTGAGGCAGTGCTGGAAAACCTCTCGAGGACCGCGTAGTCAGAGGCGCTTGGGTCTTTGATGCAGTATGTTACGCGCCGACCGGCAGACAACGACCGTGTTGGTCCACTGTAATCATAAGGGAAAGACGAGCGCGTAAGGTTGGGGATAGGTCGCGAAAGAGATGTTCAGCTGCAGACGAGGTTGAGAGGTTGGGCTACCGTTATGAGACCATGATACGTGATCAGTCATACATGTCACACGCGTAGAACAAGACGTCTGGTCTGCAGGTATGAGTAGTCGTCAAGAAAGGAAGGGAAGGTGCTAATGTACCTGAGGTCTTGGTGTGTGATGGCACAAACAAGAAGGCAGTCAGGAGGCATGGGAATGGGGCAGTGCTTGGAAGAAGTGAGAGGGTGAGGAAGGATGATATGGGAAGAGTGAAGAAGGAGGAAGGGGGACAACATAGGATGAGGGAGGGAGTACAGGGGAGGGGGAGGGAGGAGGGGGAGAAGAAGTGGGGGATGGTAGCACAAAGGCAAGATCATACCTGGCGCAATGCTGAACGCGCCCTTCATACACTGCGCGTAGGAGGGGAGTTGAAGTCCCGTGATGGACGCGATGAGGACGTGACGGATCCCGTGATCGGTCCGAATTCCTCTCAGACACACCGATCACTTTGTATGCGCATGAACGCGACGCAGATCTGCATACCAACACCACAGATCGGCAGCGATCGCGTCCAGGATCGGGCACGTGGGCCGGCTCGGAGATGCGGACAAACAAGACCCGGACTGAGGTCACTTTGTTTCTCCGTAATCTCAAACTGGGTCGACCTTTCAATTTCATTCGATATGCACAAACAAGAACGACACCGAGAGTGAAGCAATTTACGCGCATAGATGAAGAATATCCAACGCTGCAGGACGGGCATTGCAGGCGGATCCTGAGATAACGATAACATGCCCGGTGCGCTAGATTTCCCCGTTTCACTCTTGGCCTGATGCTGATGGAGAAACAGCGAATGATCTGAGGCGAGCAGGGAAGGAACGGTCGGTGCGAGGGTGCCTCACGTCACGCGTCGTGAAACGGTTGCGAGTGGCGCTTGACGGGGTTGGACACCGTGACCACCATCATGCCGAGTTCAACCACGCCGAATCCTGAGACGCCATTTCCATACCTCACCAGCGCTGAAGTCGAATATGTGTGCGATACGTCAGGCGCATATGAATGTCATGTCGAGGACCGGTACCTGGAACCCCTGCACGGGGTGAAGCTGGCAGAACGCTGCGACAAATGGCGAACGTGTTAGTAGACGACATTTTCCCCGGTGTCCATGTCACTACAGGGAGTCTGCAACCATTCCTAAAGAAAGGGATCACAAACGATGACCGCTTGGCGGTCCATTCAGTGAAGGTTGCGCTGGGTGAATTCGTTGCGGCGATGGTGATTGATGGTAAGCACTTCGCGTACCGTAACCGCGTCTCTGCTGACGAAGTCAGGACACGGTGGGGAAGAATGTGCTGCGTATGCCCAACACGGGATTATTCTTCGAGAGTTGGACCGTTGCGGATCCATTTGCTCCTGCACGGAAATCTCAGGTGCACTACAGCGAGCCATCAAGGCCTTCGACGACGATCTGGCTCGAGCGCTGAAGGAGAGTGTCACGAAGGTTCCGCCCGGAGATTCGTTATCCACGACATTCCTCCGAGATCGCCCTCTTAGGCGCTTGTTGAGGTGTTTCCGTGGAGCCTGTGTGGTGGTAGTGCTTATCAGACCCTCGAGTCGGGATCTTTGGGTGGCGAACCTGGGGGATTGCTTGGTGGGTCAGTTTACCTAATCATTGTTTGTAGTAGGATCTCGATTGCTAATTGTACCACAGTAGAAGGTCATGAAAACGTGGAAGATCCATCAGGCAGCTGGATTGTACGTCGATTGACGGAAGAGCACAACACGAGCAATAAGGATGAAGTGAAACGGATCCAGGATGAGCATCCAGGCGAGGAATGCATTCTTGACGATCTAGTCATCGGCAGGATCCGGCCGACAAGAAGTATGGTTTCGCTTCTATTCACATAACGCTGGTGATGATGAATCTATCCAGCCGTGGGGAATTGGGACCAAAAGTGGCCGGCAGACATGGTGGCACCTCTATATCCCTTCCTTCCCTTCGTTGGCGATGGAAAGCCACGAGGCCGAACGCGGCTTCTCAACATCAGCCTCACTCCCCCATATCAGAGCTCCGTGGCAGATGTGAGGCACGAGAAGCTTCCGAGCGGTAGAGGAGTGTTGATTGTCGCGAGCGATGGTCTGCCAGATAACTGCGCTCGATTAACCCTTGATCCCCACCCGGATGTGGAGAGACGGAATCAAGAGATGATTGAAAGCTGGGTACGCTCTGCGAACAGGAAACCACTGGAAGGGCTAGAAGACGTGGAGGTGACAGCGGTTGAGCGGATCATGCGGGATGTGTTGGGGGGTACAGAGGAGAGGAAGGTGATGATCAATCTGACCGACTGGTTTCACGTGAATATATGGGACGATATGACAGTGGTAGCGATCGAACTGTTCTTGCCTGAATAAATTCCACCCCAATTCCAGGTATCTGAGGCGATAGATTCTCCTTAGATAAGGTTAGAACTGTCCCACTCCGGCGGTTTCCCTGCAAATTCATCTTGCTCCAGCCCATAGATTTTCGCTTTAGACTTGGCAGCCTCTTTGGCACGCAGCGTCAGAGTTCAACTGCTCGACATCAAAAGTGCCATATTGATGAAGCAAACGGCACAAAGAGAGGTAGTGTTCAGGGTGATGACAAGGATCGGTACTATAATATATCCAACGGCAACCTATCGCCTCAGATTACTCTAACTTGGGTGGAGTTCCTTCAGGAGGACACAGTTCGATGGTTACGACTGTCAGATCGTCCCATACATTCAAGTGAAACCAGTCGGTCAGATTGATCATCACCTTCCTCTCCTCTGTACCCCCCAACACATCCCGCATGATCCGCTCAACCGCTGTCACCTCCACATCTTCCAGCCCCTCCAGCGGTTTCCTGTTCGCAGACCGTACCCAGTTTTCAATCATCTCTTGATTCCGTCTCTCCACATCCGGGTGGGGATCGAGGGTTAATCGAGCGCAGTTATCTGGCAGTCCATCGCTCGCGAGAATCAATATCACTCTACCGCTCGGAAGCTTCTCGTGCCTCACATCTGCCACGGAGCTCTGATATGGGGGAGTGAGGTTGATGTTGAGAAGTCTCTTCCGAATTAGTGGCGTTTCGTCGTCGAACCAGGGAAGGAACGGATACAGACATGCCCCTATGTCTGCCCGGCCACTTTTGGTCCCAATTCCCCACAGCTGGATAGATCTGTCAGCATTAGCGTTGCGGGAATTGAAACGGATATTACTTCTGGTTGGTATGGTTTTACCAAGCACCCTGTCCTCTATGATGCACGCCTCGCCTGGATGCTCATCTTGGATCCGCTTCACTTCATCCTTATTGCTCGTGTTGTGCTCTTCCGTCAATCGACGTACAATCCAGCTGCCTGATGGATCTTCTACGTTCTCATGACCTTCCACTGTGGTACGATCAGCAATCGAGATCCTACCACAAACAATAAATAGGTAGACTGACCTACCAAGCAATCCCCCAGGTTCGCCACCCAAAGATCCCGAGTCGAGGGTCTGACAAGCACTGTCACCACACAGGCTCCACGGAATCACCTCAACAAGCGCCTCAGGGGGGGATCTCGGAGGAACGTCGTGGATAACGGCTCTCCGGGAGGAACCTTCGTGACACTCTCCTTCAGCGCTCGAGCCAGATCGTCGTCGAAGGCCTTGATGGCTCGCTGTAGTGCACTTGAGATTTCCGTGCAGGAGGAAGTAGATCCGCAACGTCCCAGCTCTCGAGTAATAAATGGGATAATCCCGTGTTGGGCATACGCAGCACATTCTTCCCCGCCGTGTCCTGACTTTGTCAGCAGAGACGCGGTTACAGTACGCGAAGTGCTTACCATCAATCACCATCGCCGCAACGAATTCACCCACTGCAACCTTCACTGAATGGACCGCCAAGCGGTCATCGTTTGTAATCCCTTTCTTTAGGAATGGCTGCAGACTTCCCGTACTGATGTGGACACCAGGAAAAATCTCGCCTGAGAACACTTTCGCCATTTGTCGCAGTCGTTCTGCCAGCTTCACCCCGTGCAGGGGTTCCAGGTACCGATCCTTGAGATAAGATTCATCTACATTTGATGTGGAGCACAAGTATTTGACTTCAGCGCTGGTGAGGTGTGGAAACGGCGTCTCATGATTCGGCATGGTTGAACCCAGTATGATGACGGTGTCAACCCAGAGTTCGTTCATCAAGCGCCACTCGCAACTGTTTCACGACGCGCGACGTGAGGCACACTCGGACCATCCGTTCCTTCCTTGCTAACAAAAACGCCTCAGAAAGACATGCATCATTTTCTGTTTCTCCGTCAGGATCCGGCCATGAGTGGAACGGGGAAATCTAGTGCACCGGGTATGGTATCGTTGTCTCAGGATCCGACTGCAATGACCATACTCCAGCGTTGGGCATTCTTCATCCATGTCCGCAAAGCGCTTCCTTCTCGGTGTGGTTCTTCCCTGTGCGTATCTTTTTTTTTTTTCCAAACGGTCGGCCCAGTTTGAGATTCTACGGAAATAAGCCAGGAGACAAAGTGACATAAGCCCGGGTCTTATTTGTCCGCATCTCCGAGCCGGCCCACGTGCCCGATCCTGGACGCGATCGCTGCCGATCTGTGGTGTTGGTGTGCAGATCTGCGTCGCGTTCATGTATGCAAGGTTCGTTGATGTCTCTGAGAGGAATTCGGGCCGATCACGGGACCTGTCACGTCCTCATCGCGTCCATCACGGGACTTCAACTCCCTTCCTACGCGCAGTATATGAAGGGCGCGTCCAGCATTGCGCCAGGTATGATCTTGCCTTTGTACTACCATCCCCCTCTTCTCCTCCCCCTCTTCCATCCCCCCTCCTCCTGTCTCCTCTGTACTCCCTCCCTCATCCTACGCTGTCCCCCTTCCTCCTTCTTCGCTCTTCCCATATCGGCCTTCCTCACCCGGTCGCTTCTTCCAAGCACCGCCCCATTCCAATGCCTCCTGACTGTGAGCTTCTGTCCTTACTTTGTTGACTCCTCACATATGACCATCAGACGTCTTCTTCTGCTCGCTTTGCCGTGCAAACGAGGGAATATCATGGTTTCATGGGAACAACTCCATCTCATCTCAACCTGGTCTGCAACTCGACGTCTGCTTCTCAACGGGTCTTGGACCGAAACCCAACCTACGCGCTCGTCTTTCCTTCATGACCCCTGTGGACCAACACGGTTCTTGTCTGCCGCTCCCCGTAACGCGCTACATCAAAGACGCGTCGTGGAGTTACAACTGCGAGCGCCTCTGAACACGCGCTTCTGGAGAGGTTTTCCAGCACTACTCAATCCCACATTCCAAGTGTTCATTCATATTCGTCCTAGCACATATCGAGACCTGAGGCACGTCGGAAATTACCTTCGTTCGTCAACCTCTACTAATGCAGGACAAGTAGATGTCTTGTGTTTTGTGCATGCACAATAATAGGGACCAATGGTGCGTCGTAATCTTACATCACTAGCCTAATCTGATTACGAAGCAGCTGGACGTCGCTCCCGAACCCCCTCTCACAATTTCACTGTCACTCATTGAGCCGCTGTGGTCTTTTATTGAAGGTGCCTCGTGGCTTCACAATAGATAGTGCATCTGATCCTGGGCTCGTCTCCAGATCGACTTATGTCATTCCTGAGTGGTAGGCAGGCATTTGGTTTCAACAAGCCTCCACACCTGTAGTACGTCGACCCCCTCCCTCCCTTTCTCGAGTCCTGCTGACACGTGACAAACATAGGCATCGTTTTACACCTGCTGTACGTCTATCCGAAGGTTTGTTGTGGTTTCATGGCAGTTGATCCATCTGATTTTGATCTCACCTGTAGGTTCATGTCTCCCTCTCGCCGTCTGTCGGACCGTCCTCGTCACATATTCATACCGCAATCCAATACGCGCTCCTCTCTCATCCCGACCCTTGTTGAGAAGCCGCTATCTCATCTAGGCCCATAGCGCGAACGTGTGTCCTGGTTCCGTAATCGAGACTTGATCTGATGATGGGCTCATCTACAAGTGGGCTTGCAGTATTCCGCGGTACCGAGCACACGTTGGGGAACCAATTTTGCCCATGAGCAGACAGATAGGTATCTAAAATGAAGAGATTTCAACGGGTAAGCCCAGAACAAGAACGTGAGTTTACCTAGACCGAGTGCTCCACATTATTCTGACTTGACTTTTACAGTTTGCGGCCTAGCCATCCTCCTTCCCCGTCCCCTTTTTCTTAACCCTTCCTCGTCTCGCCCTGCTCCTCATTCCGTCCTCTGTCTCCTCCGTCCTCCGCCTTCATCCTCCAACATTCTCCAGCTCTCTCTTCCCATTTCATCCTTATGCTTCATCTCCGGCCCTCTAACTCCTTTCCGATACCACCCCATTCCTCACCCAACTCTTCCCACGAGTGTCCTTGGTCTGTATTCGTCCGTTTACAAGCCATGCTGGCCTTCATCTTCACCTTTCCTAACGCACTTGGTAACATCACAAACAAAGCTCTTATTCACCGCCCACATTATGGGGAATCAAAGGTGAGTTTTTTTCCCACTGTTTCTATCAGTCTGATCACGATTTTGTCCGCAGCTGACTGCGTCATGCTTCCTTGTCCCACTGAAGGACAACGGGAACACAACATTTGCCCTCATCTTCCGACATGTCGCTCTCTGGTTCTAGACTCGGAGAGTGTTGTATTTGAGGTGCGCTGTGATATTTCAATAGAGGCTGTAGCTCAACATGGGCTTGTCCATAGGCGGGCTCATATTATTTCTTAGTGCTATCGACCTGCTTTGAATATCGTCACGCGAATAGGTATCGTGTGACGCAGATTATCTGTCCTAGCAATGTCGAAGAAGGACGGTGAGTCTGGTTGGTCTCAGCGCTCTTCATGTTCCTCATGTTCTTTTGACAGTCTCTTTCATGTCCTCGACAAGGGAACATAGCGAAACAATGGGGCCACGTTGTACTGTCGGTCTTTGCTTCACCTGCGTTTCACCGCATGCTCGCCATCAGTTCAGAACTGATATATACACGGTTAGTTCCAGCTCTCATGGGTATCCAGTTTTGACATATGTCCAGATGCTATGCACGACCCGAACCGTCCTCAAAGCCGACGAAAAGAGCCATATGGACTCTTGTCCCACAACATGACTGGGGTGAATCATGCCCAATTGGGTGAAGAAGTACGCCTCTTTATAACCTTCACATGATCACCACAAGTACTTATCCTTCTCCAGACTGAATCCCATGTGTCGGACGATCTTCGCACTCTCCCCTTCTTCCGCATGTCGATTATGTATCAATCACCGATCTGCCTCTGCTTATTTCACAGGCCTCCACAACTCGGTCTGACAATCCTCATCATTACAAACGAGACCCCCACCCACTACTTGTCCACCCTACCATCACGCCGCAGTTCCTCTCCTCAACTCGGCCACTCAATCCCCCCGCAGCCACCGGCTCCAGCACCAGCACCAGCAGCGCCCCAGGCTTAACCCACTTCCCCTCCGCCCTCCTCTCACTCCTCCCTTGCCCTGTCCCCTTGACACTTCCCCCTCCCCGTCCTTCTCTGTCTTACGACCTTAATAGCCAAGAGTGATGACCGGTGAGAAATCGAGAAATTTCGGTGCTTCAGCGTCGGCGAAGAATAGCTCTAGCTCAAATTCTCTTCCATTCATGCCTTTTCTATGAAAACGCAATCGGAGGATCGAACTTCCTCAGGAGAAGTTTCAACGATCGGGAAATATCTTTCATCAGTTCCGTGTATGTGAGACTTGTTGCGGAGACACGACAAGCAGACCAAGTGGCGGAAGTTCGGACACCTCGACGAGAATGTAGGGCAGAATATAGAAGCCTCGCGTGTAGTTGTGACCTGGGTATCAACTAACAAATTTTAAGGCTAACGTTGCTGGACATTTTATTTGTGAATGACAGGGATTTTGATGTAATAACATAAGACGGAAGAGTCCGGGCACTGGGGAGGACGTATATGCGCCTGCGCAAAGTACAATAGCATCAAAGCTGTTACGACGCAACACCGTCTGCCGAAGACGTCACTCCGCCCTCATTGTTCGAGGCCGTGACGGTGAGCCTGCGAGTACTCCTACGACTCTTCCGTTTTCGGTAGTTACTGGGTGTCACAGTCGTCGAGGAGAAGATTGATGCAGCCTTTGCGCTCGGAGGTGTGAGGCTGCCTTCAGAATCGCCGCCATCGGAGTCTTGTTCATCGTCACTCCTGAGAACAGAAAGAATGATGTCGGTCGGTGTTTGCACTGTTGGTTGTGTTGGTGCCTTATCCGGTTCATTATACGGGGGTGGCGTAATGTAAACACCTGGATGGGCGGGCAGAGTCGGATATGGACGAGGGCCCACAGGACGAACCGGAAGCTTGGGCGATGTCGGGGCCGATTTGCTCCCCCTCTTCAAGCCTGCCATTGATGGGCCGACTTCGGCGAGTCGCTGCAGAAGAGGAGGAATGGGGAAACGTTCCAAGATAGACGTAGACGGCTCGTCAATGGCCGATATAGGCGATGGTTCTTCCATGGTCTGGGCGTGGTGCGTGAAAGTGACTGAAAAACGTGGAATTCTGTTTCTGTTTCGAAGACTGCTTCTCTTTGGAACTACAGGAGGAACCGGTTTGCGGGTGACCAGCGGGCGCACGGGCAGCGGTAGAGGAACCTCGAATGCTTCGGCAAAAAAAGTCGATTTCCTCTTTCGACTCTCGAAGCTGTACTTCGAGGCTGTAGAACCAGCACTATCCTGTTGCTGCGATAGCTCATCTGCATCGTGATTCGGAGGAACAGGGGTTGGCATCTGAACAGTAATCAAGGGAGGTAACGATGGTCGTTTATTTCGTCGAGGTGCTGGGTCGAGGCAGAATGGGTGTGAGCCAGGAGAAACCGATGCCCGCTTGCCTTCTTTCTTGCTCAACACGGCACCACCTTGGCCATCCATTCTCGGTGACTGCTCTATGTCGTGACTCTCCGAAGTACGTCGGCACCAATAGTCGATGAGCGTCCTCCATTGGGCTGTTTGCCATACCTTGCTTCCCCAAATGAGGATAAGACCATTGACAAAACCTGTTTCCCCTTGTGAGCATAACACCGGAAAGGAACACTAATGACGAACCAGTTAATGAAAAGATACTGGACGAGATAAAGAAGGCGAGGGAAGACACTGGGAAGCCAGAAAGCGCCACTAGTCGGCAGAGCGTGATTGGCATGATCATGACGACGTAAGCTGACGCTTGTGTAAGTATGCAAGAGGCGTATCAGCAACCAGTGCTCTTACCTAGCGGGTATCTATATGTCGTCAGTATGGCCCTCGATTTAGGCTGTTGATTGTACTTACGCGAGCATCCTCTTGACCACAATCTGCAGCCATGCTTCATACCGCCAAGCTATTGGGTCCGACCCAGTATTCTCCAGTTGCTTTCTCTGACGATAACGCAAAATGACGAAGACCATGATATACAGAACCGCAGAGGACAGAGCAGCGAGGATCAGGAACAGATAATGAAACCAGAACTGGAATTGGGCGTATGGGTAGTAGATCCAACACCATAGTGGGCCGTTGTCGGAGAAGACAGGGCCATAGAACGAGATGCCGCTGTTCCGCTGAACGATAACAGGTCCAGCGAATGCTGCTTGGTATTAGCGCCCATCATCTGAAAACTCCTAGGAGGACGCGTACCGAAGAACAAGATGAAGAACCATCCAAGAGCCAACACCAGAACGAGAGCCTTCGTGGTAAGAATACGATGCAGAACGAGCGTTCGAAATGCATGAACAGCCATCACAGTACCCCAGACCGCGGCGCCGACATCTCCGATCTGAAAAAGCCAGCCTCAGAGCCCCATCAGCGCTGCACCAGAGGGACGTTGTGCACAAACAGCTCACTTTGCGCTTGACACGTTGCGAACTCCCATACGAGGACTGACATGCTCCCACTGGCGCCAAGATCTTGACTCATTGTCATTCTGATCGCCCAGACTGCTTGTATAATGCCTCCAACCGCAGAAGACAAATTGGTGATCAGCAGGCAAAAGACGTACATCCTGCAGGGGGTAAGAACTTCAGTGGATAGGCACAGAACATGTGTGTTTACCCTAGATGCGTCCTAAGAAACGCACGTTCAACACGTATGGGTTGCATATCGGTAACAAGTTTCCTTCCCATGGGAAAGAGTGTGATTACCTATAGGCACATGAGACAAGCACATTTACCGCCTCTGACCAGAACTCACGATGAGCTGTATGAGAAGGAACAAAACCATGAGTGCCGATAGCGCGGAAAAGCTCGCAATTGCCTGTCAAGACGTCAAGACTTAACACGCGACAGATTGTGTACCAAGGTACCGCCGAACCGCCGTTGAACTGACTGAGGTTAGAGTCCAGCGCGGGCTCTGTGAGGTTTGCCAGAGGGTTCGGGGTCGGAGCGCCGAAGACATCTTGGTCCATGCTACTCGAACTTGGTAAAAACTGAGCGTAGGTAGGTGGTCAAGCACTCGCAAGACCAGCTGCAGCGCGTGCAGAGCCCGATACTCGATGAGAACTGGTACAGAGGTGAAGACTGGAACAGTATCCTCCGACCCGAGAGCAGTCTTTAGCAGAACGAGCACCGGGGCCTGCCGTCGGTGAAAATGAAGAGGGGGAAAGAAGAGAAGAGCAACAGCAAGTTCAAATCGTGAGTTGACCTTCGTCTTCTGCCATCGCAGAAGCCGGGCACTGCTCGTAGAGCCCCATCAGCGACAGTTAGCACGGCGCAACGAAGTCTGCGGTGATGATTAGGACGCTGTCGCCGCGCAACGGTCGACGTCCCAGTAGATAGCCGTAGCGAGCATGCTGTTGAAGAGGGATACGTGGTCTATCAGCAGTTTTTGCGCTAGCCGAGGTGGTGGTCCCAGCAAGAGTGAGGGCGGGCTTCGGGCTTCCGATGCAGACGCGATGTACTGATGGGGTCGCGTCGTGTGTTCAGTGTCCAGCACGTGATCTACATCAGAGATGTCTTGGGCAAGGCTAGAATACAAAGTTTAATGTCATAGTAGCTATGTATACAATTGTCCAGTTCTAACAAGCCCAAATACAAAATACGTAGTACAACCTCGAAAGAACCAACATCCCCAGTGCGTCGCTCACCGTTTCTGAAAATACGCCGCAATCCCATCCAGCTCCTTCCGTTTCCCAGCCTTAGGCTTTCCCTTCTTCTCCCTCCCGACCGGTGCTCGTACTTCTTGCACTTCGGGAAGATTCCCGTCCGCAGCTTGTAGGTCCAGCGCAAAATGATAATCCTCATGCTCAGCTTTGAGCGCCTCGAGCTGGGTGGACTGCTCCGCCACCCCTGGTGCAAATGCAGTGAGTACCCGAGAACATCGTGTGCACTTGTGTGATAACGTCGGGCCAGACGTCGGGGCTGAAGACGACCGGGAAGGTGTAGGCGGTCTAGATGCTTCGGGCATAGGTGTGCCCCGCTCACTCGTCCGCCGTTTCTTCGCAGCTGGCCCCGCACCCCCGAAGAACCCCTCAATGCTCTTCTGTCCTTCCTCACCCTTTTCCAACCCCGCAAACCCAAGAGAGATATTGATGATATCCTTAAGCATCAGTTCTCCCTGACCGACGAGTTCTCTCAACAGGCGTTCTCCTAGTCGGGCGATGTACTCGTCCGACAGGGCGTTCGTGAACGGAAAAGGACACTGACGGGACCGTGGAGCATCAAACCCCTGCTTAATGTGCAGGACGAGCGTCTTAGGCCATACTGCAGGTGAAAGATCGCGTGCTTCTTCTAGCCTCAAGGACAGTTCGGCCGAAAGCACGCGCAGCCAGTGCTGCCCATCAGAAAAGGTCTTGATAGCCGGCCGGACATTCTTGCTCGCCATCATACTCTTCACACCTGTGCGCTCCTTCACTTCCGCATAATCCCTCCCGCGGAGGATATCGTACACCCAGTAACTCTCTTCTCCAAACTGTTGCTGCATGTCCTCCTTCGACACGGAGAGAAGGTCACCGATCGTCTTGGCGTCATAGGCGGAGGCGAGCGCGTCCCCGAGCTTGCCCCCGAGGAACCGGATCTTCTTGAAAGGCATGGGGTTGAGGTACAGGGGGATGGCGGCGTCTCGGAGGACGGTCTGACCAAAGGGCTTCTTGCACGAGGCGCATAACTTGGCCATTGTCTTGTTGCGTGCGATTCCCTAAAAGCGCATTAGCGCACATCTATACTGAGGAACGGAGAGGTCGTACTGCAGAGGTCGTGTATCCAAGCTGCTTGTGCACCTCCTGCCGCACCTTGTGCACCATCTCCGCGCCAAGAGCGAGCGCTACATCAGCCCACGTCCCCTGCCCGTCCACTCCCGCCTCCTCTCCCTCTCTGATAGCCAATACGTTCCCCCTCCCCGTCCAATCGATGACCGGTGCAGGAGGCAGCGGGCTGTCCATCCCATCCGTCGCATCAGACGGTACATCTCGCAAATAGGGATATCGGCGCAATATCTCCTCCCTAACCGGGGCGGTCAAGTCGAAAAAAGCCTCATCAATACTCGCTCTCTCAATCTCAGCCTCTGGAAGCGTTGACTGAAACACTCGCAGGACCTTGATGCTCTCCCGCCGGTAGTGGTCTAGTGAGACTTTGTGCGTCGAGGGCTTAGCGTTGGGGAAGTAGCCTGGCTCGCGGGAGCCTTCGCGGTATGTCATTACGTGTACGCAAATGAGCTCGGGGCATTTTTTGGTCGCTTCTGTGACCTGGGGAGGTTGAGAGATATAGAGTGTTAGAAAACGGATGACTCACGGACATAAGCCTGGTGATCCCATACTTGCGTGCAGGGTAGTTTATCGCAATCTACATAGTTGGTCAACCCCTTCCCTTCTCGTGCAAGGAAAGTACTCACCAACCCCTGCCACTGTTGTACCGCTATAGGCTTCTCCGGATTGAGTCCCAAGCGAACCTGCTCGCACGCTGCATAGAACGCGTCGCTATCAATGAGGGCGATGACCCGGAGTGGGTTGTACACGTTCAGCGTCTGCGGTGAGAGAAGATGCCTGTATGTTATCTTGCTACCAGATTGCTCTGCATCTACCGCCGTCGACGAGCTAGCGAACATGAGGTCGCGCTGCAGAGAACGCAGGAAAGCTAAAAGGAAGCAGTGAGTGCCAGTCAATGTCCAATGAGGAATAGGCAGTTACAGTCAGGGTCTTCAACACATTGCTTCTTCACTGCCACATCCGTCTTTATTCATTTTCGACCCTTGTTCCCCACCATCCTCCACCATCCCCGAGGCATGCATCCTCGAACCATCATGGCACCCGCCGTACGGCAATGCCGTCGAGGGCTGGCTACTCAAGCGTCCATGTCGACTAGGAGAACACCGCAGACGTTTGCAGAGAAGGTCGTTCAGCGGTACGCGGTCGATTGGCCAGAGGGGAGAGCAGTCAAGGCGGGTGACTATGTTATGATACAGCCTGAGCATGTCATGACACACGATAATACCGGACCGGTCATATCCAAGTACGCCCATCACTTTGGCGTCATATAGTCCGACTTATGAACGAGGACAGGTTCAAATCCATCGGTGCGACCAAAATCAAGAACCCGCAGCAGCCAGTGTTCACAATCGACCACGACGTGCAAAACAAATCCGCCAAAAACCTCCAGAAGTACCTGACTATCGAGCAGTTTGCACGAGAGCACGGGATTGACTTCTTTCCCGCAGGGAGAGGGATCGGACATCAGATCCTTGTCGAGGAGGGGTACGCATTCCCTCAGTGCCTCACAGTGGCTAGCGACAGCCATAGTAACATGTACGGCGGAGTGGGTTGCGTAGGTACTCCCATCGTGCGCACAGACGCGGCCACACTATGGGCTACGGGGAGGACATGGTGGCAGATCCCACGGATGGTCAAGCTCGAGTTCACCGGGGCGCTCGCACCCGGCGTCACGGGGAAAGACGTGATCGTCGCACTGTGCGGGGCGTTCAACAACGACGAAGTCCTGAACGCCGCTGTGGAGTTCACAGGCGAGGGTGTCAAAGGGCTCAGCATCGACGACAGGCTCACAATAGCGAATATGACGACCGAGTGGGGTGCGCTGGTGGGCGTATTCCCACCTGACGAGCATACGCTGGCGTACTACGACGACCTGATTTCTAAACTTGAGCACCCTTCTTTCGCCGCGCCAAGCACGCCTGCCCCACCCGAGCACCCACGACTAAACAAGAAGCGGCTTGAAGCACTCAAGGCCTCGCTGATGACCTCCGACCCGGACGCGGAATACTCCGCCCACCTAACGCTCGACCTCTCCTCTCTCGTGTCCTACGTCAGCGGGCCAAACAGCGTCAAGATCGCTACCGCCTTACCCAAGCTAGAGGAACAAGACGTCAAGATCCAAAAAGCGTACCTCGTTAGCTGTACCAACGCCCGCGCGTCAGACCTTGCAGCGGCCGCATCCGTCGTAAGGGGAAAGAAAGTCGCCCCTGGAGTAGACTTCTACGTCGCGGCCGCATCGAGCGTAGTGCAAGAAGCGGCCGAGAGGTCAGGAGACTGGCAGACACTGGTCGAAGCTGGCGCGCGTGTCCTCCCAGCCGGGTGTGGGCCTTGCATCGGTCTCGGCACTGGCCTGTTACAGGAAGGCGAAGTCGGTATCTCCGCCACGAATAGGAACTACAAAGGCCGGATGGGGAGTCCCAAGTCTCTGGCCTACCTCGCCAGCCCAGCAGTGGTCGCTGCCTCCGCTATACGGGGGTCCATCTGCGCCCCCACAGAACTAGACATCGAAGATCTTCCCAAGTGTTCCTCTCCCCTCATCTCTATCTCTCCCTCCTCTTCCTCCGCCGCCCCAGCAGCAGCGCAAGAAGATCTCTACCCGGGTTTCCCCGCTTCCTTCCGCGGCCCTCTCCTCTGGACCCCGCAGGACAACCTCAACACCGACGGGATCTACCCCGGCAAGTACACCTATCAGGACGACATCACCCTCTCCCGTCAGGCAGAAGTCGTTATGGAAAACTACGACCCTGGTTTCTCCTCACTCGTCGCTTCCCTCCGTTCTCCTTCTTTCGTCCCCGGCCAGCCAGAGACAGCAGAACGCGACCAGCAGGGAATGAAAGGCGCCCTCCTCATAGCCGGGTACAACTTCGGAACTGGCTCCTCGAGAGAGCAGGCAGCGACAGCACTGAAGAGCGCTGGGATCCCCCTGGTCCTTGCGGGTAGTTTCGGGGATATCTTCAAGCGCAACGCGATCAACAACGGGCTTGTGTGCCTCGAGTGCCCCGAGCTGGTCAGCGAGCTGACGAAAGAGCACACCAAGGCGGGAAAGAGGGGAGAAGGGGGTAAGGATGGGGAACTGACTGTCCAGCTCGGGTGGCACGTGGAAGTCGATATGGGCTCTGGGGAGGTGAGGGTGAGGACTTTGGAGGGTGATAGGGTGTATAAAGTTCGGCCGGTGGGGAGGAGTGTACAGGAATTGTGGGTCGATGGTGGGTTGGAGGGGTATGTTAAGAGGCAGATCGAGGCGTGAGGTGTTCTGAGCTGCAGAGGCAAATCTCTGGGATGCCCTACTCACTGTATTTAACGTCAGTAAGATCCAACAATGAGAAATGTGAGTGTGCACGATAGACTCCTCAAACGCGCAGTGATGATGATCAACATGCATTGTCCAGCTATCAAAGTACATCAAGAGTGTGATTTTGGATCCTATGTAAACTACAAGGTACAACATCCATCCATCGCATCACAAGAAGTTACCAAACATGAACACAATCCAACTGTCATCCGAGCGCTCCGTACATCCCTCCCTCTACACTAGAAGCATCGCGCCGGCCAGGGCTGCAAGGGCTGCGACACCCACGGTTCCAAAGCCCGAGCCCATGCCCAGAGCGCCGCTGGACATCCCTCCTGCGCTCGGGCTTGGGGTAGCGCCGCTGCCGGCACCGGCAGCCCCGACGGCGCCAGTTTCCATCGCCGTCTGGGTGGCTGCGGCAACGGTAGCGACAGAGTACGCGCTTTCAGCCGCAGAGCTGTTGGACATCGGGTTGAGAAGGACGCCATCGATAAGGTGCACCACACCATTCTCGATAAGGATATCGCTCTGCACGACCTTAGCGGTACTGTTCGCAGACATGACGAACAGCCCTGATGAGTTGGATATCATCATGAGCGGCTCGCCGGACGCGGACGTGAGGTTGGAGGCGCCGGCCAGACTGGTGCTATAAAGAGTAGTGCCGTTGACAATGTGGTTCCCGAGCACGGCCTGGATGAGCGTCATGTTCGAGGCGGCTTGACCCAGCTGGCCGAGAGCACCCGTGAGCGCTGCATCGGTGGGAGCAAAGATGGTGACGCCGTGCGAGGCGAGGACGGGATCGGTGAGGTTCGAGCTTTGTGCTGCGCTGAGGAGGGCAGAGATGTTGGACGGATTGAGGCCGGTCAGGGGGGGAGGGACGGTGAGCACGCCGTCGATCACGTGAATGATGAGGTTATCATACGTTGCCGACTGGAGCACGGTGATGTTTTGCTGGAAGGTTGTGAGCAAGGGGGAAGGGGCAAAACCGGAGGAGACTTACAGGTTGGTTAAGGAGCATAACTGGACCACCGCTGGGGTCAGCGACGAGTACCTGGCTCTTGTTCCCCTCGAGTTGCACCAACGAGCTGTCGTTCAAGAACGTGCGCATGATGGTATGATTGGGGCTCATGGCGAACGAGCTGGCGTTGAACGAGCCAGAGACAACGTGGTACCTGAGGATGTTCCCCAGTTCATCAAGATTGGAAGTGACGTTTTCAGGCACCTGGGCAAAGGCAGCGTCGTTGGGAGCGAAGACGGTACGATTTCCCATGGGGAGGGATGCGAGGAGCGAAGCGCCTTCAGTTGTGTTGGCGAGGGAGACGGCGGCTTGTTGGAGCATGGTGAGGTTGAGCCCCTGGAGGGTGCTAAGGAGGCCGGCGACATAAGCATCGGGGCTGGACGAGTTTGTCCCATCCTGCCCCAGGACGGGAGCGAGAAGGGGGAGGAGTGCGAGGAGTGAGAAACGAGGGCAGCGCATGATGGTGGTTAGTGGAAGGAAATGCGGGGGATGAAGCTAGATGAATGCGCCCAAAGTGCGGTGCTTATATAGCTTTTCATCCCCAAAGAGAGAAACGCGTCCGATCGTGACGTCTCATGTCTCATCATGCTCAGCTGCCGATCCAATATTGCTGCCGACTCGCAGAACCTTGGAGAGTAGAGAACAAGTAAGTTAATTGCCTGTCTTGGAAAGAACGAATGCGGGGCAACAGAGGGACATCTGACACCCTCACGCACCGTAACGTCATACCACGCGAACTCTATTCATAGCATCTCCCCATCATCCAACAAATGAATATTCTAGGCACCCCACATGGTACTTGGCATCTGTCAGTCTACTCACTCCATACCACGCCTGGCCAGGCTACCCCACATCTCTTCCACCAAGAGTCTTATCCTCGCCGAGTTCGGCGCCCTCCTCCCGGGGTCCCTCGCGTTTTGGCGGGATCAGCGCGCCTCCCCCACCAAACCCAAACCTTGGCTCTCACCCAGTCCGGAGGGAAACCTTGGCTCGCACAAGGATAAAAATCCCAGGTCGGAAAAACGGAGGCAGCCAAGGTTTGCTACCTCTCACCAGGGCGGTGCCGTGGAATGCGTAGATGTTGGACTGGTGAGTTGCGATCGCCTGGGTGCTGATATGAAAAACATGCACGTGTGTTTGTCGTCCCTTCAATTGCTCGTCATCGATCGCTGGAATCGGGATCGAGCCCGAGCCCTGAATCCCCTCGGGATCCAAGACATCGAAGGGACGTGGGATAGGTGCGGATGCATCACTATCCACTATGAATACGTGCGGTCCGATGTGCGGCTGGTACTAGCGCCTATAGCGCTGAACGAGGAAATGGGACACGAAGCTGAGAGCTGAGGGCTGAAAGTCAAAATGGAGAACGTCGAGAGTCGGTTATTCTTCGAAACATCGAGTCGGTGCGCAGTAAGGTTGTCATGTTATTCACATTATCAGTAGATCTGAACACCAGCCGAGCGCTTATAGCCAGCGGAGACGCATGGATATCGACATGACCGACACTCGATCCTCGTCTCCATCCTCCTTGTCCTTCTCTACCAACCCTGCAATCCGTCGCATTCCGAGGCATGCATGTGCGAGACACGTGCCGATTCTTCACGTGTCACCTGGAGCACGTCTGGTTCAGTCAGGACGCGATCGCTACTGATCTGTGATGTTGGTATGCAGGTCTGCGTCGCGTTCATATATGCAAACGCAGTAATTGGCTGTTCCTCCATGTCTCCGAAAGCGATCCGGTCCGATCACGGGACCCGTCACGTCCTCATCGCGTCCATCACGGGACTTCAACTCCCCTCCTGCGCGCAGTATATGAAGGGCGCGTCTAGCATTACGCCACCAGGTACGGCATCTTGCTTCAGTACTACCAACCCCCACTCTCCCTCCCCCTCCCACGCAGGGCAGAAACAAAACACTCACCCAGGCACTATACATGCGTTCCCGACATTGCCAGCGAGCAACAGTTGGTCGCAGTTTGGACCTTGTGCACTGCGTAAAAGTTGTGAGCATCGTTGCTGTGTGGCCTATTAGGCTGCTGGTTGACCGGAGCTGGAGAGGTGTTAATGTTCCGCATGTGGTAAGCAGTCGTATGCTCACCTGGAGTTGACATACTTCACCAAACGAAGCTCCGTTGTTATTCCTAGGCTAAATGAAGGCATATTAACTGTTCAGGACGTGTGACAGTGCGTGACTCTTCTGGCAGGATAGGCGCGTTGTGATAGCAGACGACAGATGATACCCGTGGTGTCACTATAGTCGTCATGGATACGACTTTCGATGGAGTTGCAGAGCTGCGATCGCTCCATTGTCGACTGCGAGCTTGTGTTTTGTTAGGGGAAGCAGAGGGTGCGTGTGGTTGTCGGATGAGCACAGGTTGACAGTGTCAGGTGAGGTGATTTGCGATGGTCATAGTTGTCCTCCGCAGGTGCGAAGCTTCTTCCATCTGGCTTGAATCCATCACGTCGCGGCTTCCGTCTGGCTCTATTGGCGTATGAGATACCGGTTAGGAGACTGAAACCACCCGTTGATCCAAGTGTCTGTATGGGATGAGCGCCTGAGCTGGACGGCGGCATCCTATTTCCGTGTTATAGAGGGTTCTCTAGAGGCCCTGGCCCTGTGCACCTGTTATTCTACAAAGATCCCGTGAGTGAAGTGGGTGACTACAGACAACGAATCAGTAAGGTGTGGTAAGAGATCGGAAAGCTAGGAATTGATAGTGTCGTCGTGGCAGATGCGGTGTCTAGTCGCGCTCAGAAACACGGACCATAGCTTGAAGGTCATCCTTTCAAATGGCGTGGAAACGCACCCAGGGAGTAACACATTGAATGGTTTTAAAAGACTCGTACGTAGTGGGGCTTCAGGTACGAAGCAACATCGTTCTTGCCATTCCTACGCCCTGAATTAGCTCGAGAAGCAGCATGGAGGGATAGACACGACACACAACAAAGATAATTGGCACATTGATGAGCCCATCCGACCTCACAAGTCGACAGCCATGATCTGCGATCATCCCGCTATGGATCGTGGGTGAATACATCAAGGAAGATGCAATCGGTTTAAGTCCGAGGTTCTGATCCAGACTATTGCAGTCGTTGACATAAAGCAGCTCAGTGGGTTGTTGATCTCCTCGTTGCTGCACTCGGCTCCCCCAGTCAAGACGCTGTATTGGTATGGAAATTGAGATATGGCAAGCATATTATTGAATAGCGCCCAACTGGATGTCGCCCTCGCACTCCATTTCGGATCCTTGTTGCCATCCATTCATCCGCTGTCTTGTTGGAACCCCCAATGTGTTGCATAGACGGTGTGTGGTGACTTTACAATACTAGTAGCGACCGTATCTGATCCTGGGCTTCTCGACAGGTCAGCTGATATCACTTTAGTGTGCTTGGAATCCGTTCATTTGAACGCAAGCCAACAACACCTACGGTCCGTCGAACCACACCCCGCCCCTCTTCCCTTCCCGATTCCCCCCCACAAGTGACAAACATAGGCGGCGTTCACTATGTCTACCGAAAGGTCTGTCATGATTTCAGAACAGTCCCCCATCTGATCATGATTTTTTGCCTGTAGTTCTGTATCTCCCTCCGCTTCACCCTCTCTCGGTTCCCCGTCGCCATCCGTTCAGACCGTGATCCAGCAGATGTGCTCTTCCATCGTCCCTCTCTCTTGCTGACAAGCTATTGCCTGGTTTCGACCTGCGGTATGAAGGTGCGTCGAGGCTGCACAATTGACACTGTATCTGATCTTGCATTCGGCGCCAGGTAGCCTTGCATCAGCTAGGACTCGCACACCTCAACTCCGCCACTTCTCGTTTCGAATCCGTTTTCCTTGTCAACATATGATTGAGCACCTAAGGCGAAGATATTACAGTGGATGTGTCCGGAAAAGAAAGTAGGTTTACTTAATCTCAGTGCTCCTGACCATGCTAACTTGAATTCGACAGTTCACCTCCCAACTACCTTCTGCCCAACCCCTTTCTTCTACGTCCACGTCCACACCTTCGCCTTCTCCACTCCTTCCCTCTTTTTCCTTCACACTCTATTCTACACCACCCTTCTTCCTCTGCATTACACAGCCGCTCGCTCGCTCCTTCACGGGACCACCCCATTCCCACGCATCAGCCCTTCGTCCGTATTTGTCGCATCACGAAACGAGACCTCAAGTACGTTCCTGTCCTTCCTTCCTTCCCAGGCCTATTGTTGACATCTGTCAAAGAGGTATTTCACTCCCTGCCTGCAACATCTTTAACCGAACCTGGGTCGTCCTTATAATTGTAGGTCCCTCACCTCATCACGAGCTCGTCTAGGGCGAGTCGCCCTTCTCAGACCAAAACACAACGCATACGCTCGTCTATTGTCCCCTGACTCGGACCTTGCTGACGGGCCGCTTTCTCATTCTAAGTCTGCAATGTATTGCATGACAGGTGCGTCGTTGTTTGACAATAGAGACCGGGTCTGATCATGACTCTGTCTATAGGTGGACTTCCACCAGCCCTCACACAGAACAAAGAGGGCGCATCACTTTCTCGCTGAAGAACTCTTCATCCCGAATACAGTTCCCGTTCAACGCCACGTCGGTGCGTCTGCCTTTTTTCCCTCTTCTCTTTTCCTTCTCACCACTCTCTAACACACAATCATGGTCCTATCTCAGATAACCCGACCTCGTGCTCTCTCTCGAGCTCGCGCACCTAACTCATCCCCTACCCCCCAAGCGCCTTCTTCTTCCCTCGACGATTTTCACAAGCCTACGCCTTCTGGGATACTCATGCGCCGTCCAGACTCGGCACTCGATCAAATGCGGCACAGTACTGCAGTCACGGTCTCAGTCACCGTCCCTCCTGTCCCTTCAAGCACGAATCCCCGATCGCCTCAGACATATGCACAGGTAATTCCCATGGTCATGCGCACTCGCCTACTACACTCAGGTCACCCAATGATCATATCCCCCAACAGGAGGAGGAGGATATGTTCTCCCTCCCTCAGCATCGGTATGCAGAACCCCTTTCGCCCCATACGCCTTATTGCCCTTCAGAGAGGCGTACACATCGCGATATCTGCCAGGGAACAACAGCAACAGCGCCAGCGCCAGCAACGATATCCCTCGCTAAGAGGAGACGATATCCTCGACCCCATCATCGTACCCCCCGAAGTCCAGAAACGCACATCAGCACTCATGGGGTTCGCTTCCCCTCCCTCCCAACCGCACTCCCACTCCCATTCCCAGCAGGCCTACTAATCCCCAACAGAAGAAGAAAGGATCATATACCACGGCGCAGACGTCGGCGTCATGCCCCAGTTCCCTACTCCCACCGCCGCCCAAGGCCAGGGATACGGCTCCTTCCCAGGCTACCTCTCCCTTTCCGCCCGAGGTCAAACCACCGCTCCCAAACCGTCCAACCCCGCCCCTCAGACGGGAGTGCAAGGCGAGCCCAAACGCACCCCTCCCTCCCCTCCCGCCCAGCCAGCCCCTAAACGCTCCAAAACGTCTTCCACCGACGCATCTAGCCAGAGCCAGTGGAGCCCCACGCAGCCTTGCCCGACAGAAAGCGACACCAAGCGCGCCATGGCTGGGATGACGAGCACGGTGAAGACCCGGCCTGTAGCGCTGTTGAGCGGAGAACAGAAAAAGGCGAGCCATATCCATTCTGAGCAGAAGCGACGCGCTACGATCCGGAAAGGCTACGAGGCGTTATGTGAGGTCCTCCTGAGCTTGAGGGACGTCGTCGCTGCTGGTGGCTGTCAGCTCCAGGGTCGAAGGAGAGGAGAGAAAGGGGAAGGGAAGGAAGCGACAGGAAGAAGAGGAGCTCGGGCTTGGAGGAGTGGTAAAGAGCGAAGCGCTTGTCCTTACTAAGAGTGAGCTTCTGTTTCACTAAGCCTGGTGGATGACAGTGCTGATCAGTACTTGTGCGCACAGCGATCGAGCACGTCGAGTCCCTCCTCGCAGAGCGTAACAAGCTCCTAACCGAACACGCGCACCTCGCCTCCTCTCTCCCCGCACACGAGCGTCCTCCGCCTTACGTCCCCGGGCAAATGACTTCCCTCCAGCCGGGAGCTAGGGAGCTCAGAGTGTGGGAAACGCCCTGGTACGGAGGGAGTGGGCTGCCCCCGGCTCATATGAGGGAAGCGATGATCTGGATGAAAGGGCTTGGAGGGGAGGACGAGGATGAGGACGAGGAGGGGGAGGAGGATTGAGTGCCGGCTGTCCTGTGCGCTGCCGTGCGGCTGGCTGGACGTTCCAACCCCTCGCTCTTATCCAACCCGATTTCCTGATTTCTTATCTCTGCCTCTTACCCTTCTCATACCGAAACACAACGCATGCGCTCGTCTATTGTCCCCTGACTCGGACACCTTGCTGACCGACCGCTTTCTCATTCTAAGTCTGCAATGTATTGCATTACAGGTGCGTCGTTGTTTGACAATAGAGACCGGGTCTGATCATGACTCCGTCTATAGAGGTGGATTTCCACCAGCCCTCAGTCCTGAGCAGCCGTTTTGCGTGTTGTGACGCGGGTCTTCCAAGCCAACAATACGAATCATACCCGTTCCACTGCAAGGCCTCAAGCTTGCGATGAGCTTAAGAACATGCTTCAGCCCACCGTCGGGGCTGCAAAGTCGAATCAGACGCACAGCCGTACCTGAAAACTTGCCTCATCTATATGCGCTTGTACACGCTGGAGCACCCTAATATTAAAGAGAACTTCGCGGAGAGCACAGCTCTCGGAACATAGTTCACCGTCAAGATTATGTCTCTTAACTCCTACCTCTCGGCCCTGATGTCCTGAGGGAATACTGCCTCGAGCTCTGCAACGCCCTACGAAGATACCTCTGCCTCGCATATCATCACCCCTCGATGTGCCGTGTCAACCACCGAGTCTAGCCGTGACATTCGAAGCTTCACCGTTGCTCCATGAGACCAGCGAGTTCGACTCGGAAAGCAGAACGAGCGCGTGATCGTCTGCACCGGGCTGACAGGTGAGGTACCATGGCCACGGCACACAAGAACGGCATGTCTTCAGCCTTAGCACTCCCTCCAACCCAAGGCTCGCCATCCAAATGCGGTGTTGAGGGAATGGGTAACCCACTCTCTGAGTGCAGACAAGGTGGGGCGCCTATCTGTGATTATTTTATTCACGGGGACAACAAGGATGCATACTGGTCAGGTGGACGATTCAAGTCGGATTTCTTTTGTGTAGTTCAAGGGACATGACGTCACATGGGTTTCAGATGTGTGTTGTGTCTCACCTACCTTGTACTTGAGACGGTCACAGTTATGAGGCGGCCTCATCTCATCCTTTGCTTGCTCTTCTATCCAAACAACCACCATTTATCCATTAACTACCATTATGAGTATTGCATTCCTCGCAAATCTGGCAGACGACGACCTCGTTGACAAGAACACAATCCGTTCTTCACCCACAACTTATAGAACCGCCCTCACGAACCAGACAGAGAAGAGAAAGTCCTCTTCCAGTGCACCGGTCAATACCGTTGATGCATTCAAAGATGTTAAAGGTGCCAGCCGTGTTGTTGAGAGCGATTCCGTGCGACAAGCGCCAGTGGACGCCGGAAAGATCGACTCGTCCTTCGACCATGACTCTGCACATCCCTCCTTCCGAAATACGAAATTGAACGGTCACGGAATCCCTATCGACAAGGCTGAATCGACTCGCAGTTCTTTGGCTCCTACCGAGCTGCCTGCCTCCTTCCATACTGCACTGGAAGACAGCACCATCCGCCCTGGGCACGGCGTCGAGACTGAATCTATACGCTCTGAATCAATAAGAACGGGCACGCCACCCCACATCCCTCCCTCCGCTGTAGGGACATTTGCCACAGGCGCGGCAACCTCTGGTCCACAAGCCCTTCCAGACTCCGATCTGCGCTCTCGAGCAACTATCGCTGAGAGCAACGTTGGCAGCAAGATCTTGCGAAGGTTGACCAAACGTGAAGGTACGTATTCGATGCAGCGAGACAGCACCCCAGTCGCTGACTGGTGATATAGCTAAAGATGGGAAACGGATGTCTAGAATCCTGCAAAACGAGGCTGTTACTGAACAAAGAACCCTTGACCTAGCGATCAAGGAGCTGGAGAGGCTGCAGAAAGTTCAGAGGAAAGCAGCAGCTGTGAGTCCCCCCTTTCTTAAAAACCACAGCATCTACGCTTACATGGGATCCAGGCTGAAGCGGAAGCCTTATCTACGCACACTAAGGCCTCCCGCCAAGAGAACAAATTGAGCCAAACCTATTTCTCAGCCAAGACCCGGTGGGAACAAGCGACTGCTTATCTCGAATCCTGCACCGTAGCCCTTGAAAAAAGCCGCGAGCATGCCCGACGTCAGACCGAGCTACTGCGAGAGAAAACCGCAGAGGTGGATCGTCTCAGGGCACAGAAGGCGACTGATGATGTGAGCCTCACTCCTATCCGTTGTGGATGCAGTCTGGCTAATAAGCGCGACAGCGTGAACGGCAGGTGAAGCTTGCTGCTTTGTCTAATCCAGGACGTTGAGCCAGTATGCAGATTTCGGTGTCGAGCAGCTGGCACTGACTTCTGTGTGTAATGCGTTGGAGCAATCAGACAAGACTTCCCAGATAGTATTATGCCGAACAAGATACAATACTCCACACATATTTTGTAATCACCATCTAAATCTAGTGCCTACGCCATCCTCCACAGTAGGGGACCGACGATGTTACCACGTCATGAAACCTCACTCGCCGTGAACAGCGACGGTAAAGCGATTAAGGTGGTATATTGGTCTGAACCAACGAACACCAAGGACGGTGTGTAAGCCAGACGTGTCCATGAGCGGACTGCTCTTGACGGTGGCGCACAAGTTGGTTGATACTCTGAGAGCCGTTAAAAGGGGCGCAGGACTTTTTTTGTACGCCAATTTGGATCCGCCGGTTTCTGGCCCTTACGTTGAAATTGCCCACTCATCATGAATATAGGGCGAAGCTCACTACCTGAACTCGGGTCATCTGGATACTTTGCAGCACTCTATGCTCATGTCTCCGAATTGGCTACGTTCACGGTCGACAAACATGTCTTTACCTGCATTCTGTTCTGCTTGATGGGAAGGGTATATCTTCCTGTCGGGAATCATCTCTTGCTACGTTCACAGCGGGGAGAACTGTCCAGCCTTCGAGAAATGGTCATCTTGGTGAGATAAATCATCCGCTCGACCTTCTTGCCTAGTTGAAGGTGTGTAGATTCTGGCCCACATATTTGGCCTAACGACTCTCCACATCCGGTGTCGATCTGATACCACACCCGAAACGTTGTTATCGCAAGTGCTGAACTTTTCGCCATCAGATGATCCAGTTGGGGAGATGTCAAATCCTTCGAGGAAAGGCAGTGTCAGTGTTTCGCGAGCTTCTTCAAGCAACGGCCGTCGACAGCAAAGTGCGCTCACCCGACCGCTCACAAATCATGTTCGATCCCATTCGACAGGCTTGACTTCCCGAGGAGCAAGCTCCGTCGGTCCATTGCCTCAAGCTATCGTGGTCAGCTCTCTTGGCAGATCTAGCTATGATACTCAGGATTGCTTGTGGAACATTCTAAGAACTCGGTGTTGTTCACATAATGGGACGATACACCGCCTCCCGGAAGAGTTGCTCGTCGTCCTTCTCAGTGACATCGGTGATGGGCGAGAGTTGCCTCATATCATTCCATGCCTGGTAATTTCGGTCAAATGATATTTTCATACTATGCCTTCTGATCATTTGTTGGCAGGTTGATCAGTTTTCTTTTAGCTCATATGTTGACATCACCAGCGACGTTCCCAATCCCTCCTCTTCCCCGGGCACACCTCTCATACCCGCCTTCGTGAGCTACCCACCAAAGTTCTCCTATTTGCACGCTGATTTCTCGTAGTATCTCCACCGAGTGAAGCATCATCCACTGCCTGTGATAAATCCCTTCTTGAACAACTACCTGAGTTGTCTCCTAACGGCAACGACTCAACACCCCCTTCTACATTCACTCCTAATGAGCAACCGAGCGTGCGCCGCTTTCAGACACTTCGCTGCGGTTTCGACAGCTTTGTTCTGCAATGAAGACGGACGCGCCCAGACGCAGCATGTAACTGAAGAGGACGTTGCTCGCGTATATGCACATGTGGTAGGTCATCGCGTAGGCATACGTAACGTCGGAGAAGGCGTGCTTAGTATACTGGATCGTTCCCTTGCCTCTTCATCCAACGGGGAGGGTAGAGAGTGGAAATCCGGCATGAAGCGGGGGGAGACAGTACCGCAGATCATGAAGGATATCCTCAGCCTCGTTTGATGCAAAGGAGGCGCAATCACTCTGAACCATGGTGTTTTAATACCCCTATGCGCACACTATACCCTGTGGTGATCATTACGGTTCCATGGGCAATTGGGGGGAAGGACAATGAAGAGAGATCAGATACCGCAAGGGCGCAGCACCAAAGGGATGCATATGTACAATACAAGTGCTGTGAGAAAAACGAGTAAGCAGACATCCTTTGGTCACCACACGACTCACCGAAGAATGGCACAATCACCATGTGTACCACATTCTTGGAATCACCGCCTCGCTTCTCTTTTCCAATACGTGCTGCCCACGGCCGTGGCTTGTACCATGTCAAATACAGAATCGCCGACTCCCAGATACTTGTCGACAAGGCTGCGAGCAGTAGGATCAGATATGAGAAGTGTGTCTGGCCTATATCGTGTGGATAAGCTGGGAACGTCGGGAGAGACAGGATACAAGAGCACGTACGCAAACCCGCTTGATCGCTTCACTCCTGCCAGCACAGTGGAGATGAGGACGGCATCGACTGCGTAGTGAATGAGTCTGCCAATCACCATGATTGCTTGATAGTTGTGATTAACGGGTTGTAATGAGGTGGACAGCGAGGAGAGGGGGCAGGGGTAGGGCCGATGACGACTGTTTAACAAGAACGATGTGAGGGGAACGTGACCTTCGGATCCCTTATACGCGTCTTCTCGGCTGCAGAGCGGAATCCTTAACTTCCGCACTTTGCCTATTTTGGCAACTATTACTCGAAACAAAGCATGAGCCCAACCTCAAACACACCCATGAAAGCAAATCCCATTTCTCTTGCATCCCTGACCTTGGTGCGCGCCAACCGCGACCAGACTATAGATGCTGAGAGGCGTAGTTTTCACGAAGTATGTGACAGACCGCATCATGCAGACGACTTCGAAGCTCACGGTCGGGATGCTTGAGTGGGGCCGCGGACTGTCACTCAGTCAATACCTCAAGGTCCACGAAGACCTGAATACTCATACACATGCCTCAGAAGGGAGACTGAGCGCCTGGTGCGCCCTTTGTCAGGTGCGGATGTCATGCATTTTGACCAAAATGATCCGCAGGGTTCTGGTTCGTCGATCTGAAGTGAGCTCATTAAATTATTTTTGTGCTTGCGAAGTGTACGTCTTGCATCACCCTAGTCATAATCCATCATAGCGTGGTTTTGATGATGCGTCAGGTATCGCCGTGCGGCGCTTGTAGCAACCTTAGCTGGCGTAGAGGAGGTGACGGCGTATGCAATCGCGTCTGTCTATACTTCCCCGCTGCACCGAAAGAAAGGCTATGCACGGCAAGCAATTCCTGTCATTCCTGGAAGAAAGGGGGGGATAAAACTACCGCTCATCTGCTTGTAGTCATATGCTGCGATTATTGCACCACGTCGTAGGCATCAAAGAGGGACTCCCGGCGTTTCCAGTTGAATGGGGTACGCCGCCATCTCGCGAGGGCTTCGGCAACGGCAAATTTTCCGTTTTATACTCCGACATCGGGCCCGACTTTTACGAAACCTGTGGTCCCTCAGCATCAAGTCCGGGTTGGCTAGCTCAGAATTCGAGCGAGGTTGTCTGGAAAGTAGATAGAGTGATGGAGAGCGCAAAGAGTTCAGCGCACCTGGTCGCAGAAGCAGAGCTAGAGATCGTTCTTGCCAAAGACGCTGCTCTCATTAAACAGGAAATGGCGATTGCAACAGTACCTTGCTGTTCATTCACAGCGAACAATGGTGTGAACGGGTACCACGTCCAGCGAACACTGATGAGAGCTGAACGCAAGAAGTATCCACGCCCAGACATTTTTGGAGCCCTCCTTCCAGAGAATGATCGACAGCCACTGGCATTCCTGACATGGACACCCGGGGGTCCCACCCTCGCCATCACTCGGTTTCGTGCCAATTCGGAGTCGCTTCCCGCCCTACTTGGTGCAGCTAAGAAGATGGCAACTATAAATGGCTCTCACAAAATTGTGGCGTGGGCTGTCCCAGAGGGCCTGCAGGAAGCATGCAAAGCAACAGGTGGAGTGATACAGACAAGGTGCGCCTCCGTGTCGGTCTCTCCGCAGTTTCTTTTGCTGAGGAAATTAGGAACGACCATCTCCCCTGCATCCATGTATACGACGTGCACAGGGAAAGGTTCGAGTGGATCCACAACGAGAGGTAAGCCGGAGAGCCTTTTTTGGCTTATGCTGACTCGCATTAAGTAGATTTTCTTGGTGCTGAGCGATATGTCAGTTCCTGTGAAATGTACCATACGTATGTTGTTGCAACGCCCAATAGAACACTACATGTCACGTGTCATGTTTCTCGCGGCACATGACTGATATCCAGACGCGTCCACATCCACGGCGCGTCTCTTTCTCTCTGCTGCCGCCATCTCACCGTCCTTCAACTTGGCTTCCTGTTCTTCAGCATCAAGTTAGCTCATCTCCGACCATTGGCATAGCATAAGGTTTTCAATATTTGGGCCCCAACAAAGCCCTTTGACAAGATTCCCCTCATGACTTCTCCAACCTGCACGCCTCCGACATCACCCGCAAGGGGCATTCCTAATCCTCATGCATATGCAGTCAAGACCACAACGTCTGGTGGATATCCATCTATTTATGAAGTTCTCCGATCTAACGGTAGTGTAGGCCTTCTAACGCGCTCCAACTTATCAAGCTCGCGACCAAGCCTCGCTTTGCATTCTTACTCACCACTCAGGCCACCATCTCCCACTCCACTCGGCACACCCAAAGGTCACCGTTCTAGCCGCTCTCTTTCGTACATTCAGTCGACATCTGCTACTAGAAAATCTACACAAGTATCTGTAGCTCCCATAGAACTCTTCGATTTCCCAGGTGGTCAACAGTGGCATTCACCTTCCCCGAGGGAAGTCCGCCCTTTACACCGTATATCGCCATTGAGGTACCAGGGTAATCTTGAATCTTGTGGTGACGGAATCAATGTCCCAGTAGGCCTTTATATTCTACATGTTTGGTGCATTGTTGATTTGATTTGCTTGCAACTCAGATACGATTCTGGAAACCGACTCGTTTAGCTAGTTGGTTCTTGAAATCGGAGAATCGCGCCATTCTTAGTATCAGCGGCACCACTGCCAAAGATATCGGTCACTTTCTCGAAACAAAGGGAATTGGTGGTGCTGAGCTTGTGGCGATTACGGAAACGAGTCTTGCCAAGTGAGTTGTACTTCCTCGTTACAACTCAACTTCCAACTGCTCCTAGGCTACAAGCTGAGCCATCTTGGGTTTGTCCGCTCCTGTCAGCGGGTCAATATCTTGCGACGATGATGCATAGCACCCCGGAAGAAAAGTGTAATGCAGTCTTCGGATCCCAACAATCACTGGCGACCACAGCGGTACAATCACGAGGCAACCGTGTTCGCCGCATGGCTGCATCTTTTGAAGAATCTGTTCGTAGACATCGACAAACGAAGTCCATCGACAACGAATTTTTCTCTAGGGTCTCCAGCTCCTCATTATCGGATAGTAGCGCCCGCAATGGTCTATGTATGTGCGGGTCCGTATCAGGAGAAGACTCCTCTTCAGAAGAATCGGTTGCTCCGAGGACACCGTATCCGGAGGAGACCAGCACTGAAATCTTCAACTCGACGGAGTTGACGGACCGCGATGCGATACAGCATACGTGCGAGTCTGGATACAGTTTGGATTCCCTGACACCACGAAGAATCGTAATCAAATCAAGTTGCGACCCTGCTGCGTCAGCTGACAAAACTCAAGATCTGGTGCTCCGGGCCGTTCTCTTGCGGTTAGCGGAAGTCGAAGAGAAGTTAAAAAGTCTACAAAACAACCAAAATGTTCGTAATCCGAGACAGTGGAAGATTCTAGCTGATCCTGCCTACCAGCCAAGTTCATTGTTCATGACTCTTGCAGTACCATGTTGCTTGTTCGCTGTATTTGGAATTGGTGCTATTACACTTCATGCTGTGGCGGTATACCGCACAGTGTAAAGCCATGAAATAGGTATTGTACGGCATCTATCTGGACAAACGAGCTTCATGGATTACAGCCTGGAATGTACCCTTAGTGATGACGGACTGTGGACAACAAGTAGGACTTACCCCACTGCTCTCATCAGGAGGTATCCAATGGTAGCCACAACCTATCTTAGTATTCAGCAAAGTGTGAAGAATAACAACGTTACACTCACAATAGCGGCGATGATACTGGCAGGGACTCCATTCTTAAGGAAATCAACATTTGTCAGATATCGTCTTCCTACCTCATCCTCTTGATTCGCTCTACAAATGGTTACGAAAGTGTATTTGGGAGAGGGGAAAGAAACGTACGCGGTCTGATTCGGGAAGCCTGAAACTGGCATACCCATGCCAGTCGAACAGAGCAGTGCCGTCAACATGATGAGAAGTCGGGGATGCGGTTCAGCCAGTCGCTCGCCAACTTCAAGAGCAATGGGAACCAAAAGGACACTTGCAATCGTGTGGGAAATAAATGTCGATACGATGAGAACCACCGCAGACAGAACCAAAACAACCTGATATAGATCAAGGCCAGAGACAATAATGCGAATCTCGGTGCCAAAGGTCTCTATTAGACCGCTTGACACAACCGCTTTCCCCAAGGCTATTCCTCCCATTGCAAGGAATACCACGCTCCACAAAAAACTTTCGAAGTCGGCCTGCCTGTGTGTGAATTTATCAATCGGATTGAGGTGACAAAGCATACCTTCTTAAGAACCCCAGTTCCAAAAAAGGCAATGACAGGTATAAGTGCAATCACCCCCATGTCCCCCACGATGGTCTCCATCCCGTGCTCGACTAGCCAGAGCACAATAGTGATGATGGTCACAACAATGATATAGTACTGAGTACCTGTCAAAGATTCTTTTGTGGCTCGGATTGGGCGGATTTCTAAAGGATTGCCATCCACGTCCTGTGATGGGTGGTACGCAACGAGTAAGAGCAGCCAGATAACCACGATAGAAACAGTTGAAACAGGCAGGGCCACGATGAACCAACCAAGCCAATCAATTCGTGGGTTCATCGCCTCCAAAGCAATGAGATTCTGTGGAGAAGAGATTGGCGAGCTTTGTCCGCCAATGTTTGCAGCCAAGGCGATGGCAATCTAGGAAGTGTTATGTGGGGCGATAAATTTTCAGACAAAACTCACTATTATACACGGTGCGAAGCTGGAGTGCGGTGGTAAGTTGCGCAAGATAGGCTAGAAGTCGCATTCAGAAAGGAACAGGCTTGAGAGGCGGAGAACCTACTCTGATGAGGGAAAAGCAGAGAGTAGGAGCCGCCACATTACTAAATACCCATTAAAAATGTCCCCGATATCCCAATCGAAGTCTCCCACTCACCTGATCCACATACTTGCAAAACATGCCACGCCCATGAATGATAAAATGACGATACTGGGCCGGGTGCCCGCAAGGCTGAGCAGTCGTGTCACAAGCAACCGATCGATACTGGATTTGCTGAGGGCTGAGGCGATGGTGAAGCCCCCAATGAGCAGCATGATCGTTGGAGAAAACATCACGGAGAATATATATCTAGACATGCATTAGCCATTATGAAGCCCGGTGCGATCAGAGATGTGCCCGTACTTAGTCGCCTCGATCGCGTCAAGGCGTTGCCCTGAACCATCAGACGAGTTGATCACTCTGAGCATGACGACAAGCAATGGGACAAGCATTGATGTCACAAAAAGTGGAATTGCCTATCAGCAGAGTTAGTTCCGCTCATGCAGAGAAGAGCCATTCATTCACCTCAGTTGCCCATAGCAAAGTACAGAGGGTCAGTATCGCCAGGCAATTCTGACGTTCCATTTCTTCCATGATGGGCACCTTCAGCATAATCACAAACACAAGGATGGATATTGCCAGCAAAATAAACTTAGGAGTGATCCCTACGTTTCCAAACGGTGTCCAAATGGGAAACAGCGCGCTTGTTTCTCCCTCGACGGTAGCATCGACCGCTGTCAGTAAACCACCAGCCTGTCCATTTCGCTCGCGGTTTATCATTTGTCGCCAGACTGTATCACGCTCCCAGACAATCTAAGGGAGATTATTCAGATGAAACATCAATAACAGGGTGACGCGTACGTGTTCACGCTGGTGGAGTTTCAATTGTCTTCGAGCAAGACCAGCATCCCCTTTGGTTACACAACGTGCATACAACCCAATCAAATTGTTGATCGCTTCGGATACTCGAGCTTTTGTGGCAGCCTGAAATGGATGCGCCACTTCAACTTTCGACCGTATGTACTCGTTCTTCAGCTGTTGCAAAGGTACATGAGATGACGGACGGCCAAGACATAAGGAATCACTGACCTCGTTCTCCGTGACTTTGTCGTATCTTTAAAAGTACTCAGTTAGCATTGGGCTGGAGGCACTCAATACTCACTTCTTCAATATTTTTGTAAACCCAGTAAAATTGAGTTCGACATAAGACTTGAGAGACGTGAATGAAATGTACAAAGATGTGATTCGGCGTTTAAAGATTAGACGGGTGTCTAGTGCGTGATCGCTGTTGGACGTCCAGATATCGAGGGGATCACTCGGATCGGACACATTGCTAGTGACACCACGCAGAAGGCTGCCAAGGGGATTGGTGGAAGTGGAACGGGATCGAGCATGGACATGTGGGCTAGGATCTCTTCTGCCTTGTCCGTCACGAGATGATCCCACACCGAGCTCGAGATCCAAAGAGTTGCTGACGGCACTGAGGGCTCTCGGTCGTCCGGGCTGAATCCCATTGGCATGGAGCTCTTCAGTTGGCGACATTTCCGGCGTGCTGATGATATACCTTCGGCCTGTATTTATGTGTGAGATCCCAGGATTCTCCACCCAAATCTTTTGTATGACCCGCCTGAGGATTGTTGTCTGGGTGAGTCGGATGGTCTGTCCCCTGATCCAATGTGCTCGTCTTCATCTTCCTCATCTCCGTCCTCACTCTCTTCCGAAAGACTCATTCTCCGCGGATTATGGGATTGACCGTCCACATCTGCACCAAGCTCGCCAAACTCTTGGAACAAGGCCGCCTCTTGCTCGTCGTAGAATATGCATATCCTAGACAACTCATTGTCTAAGTGTTGAGTAAAGAGATCGTTTGAGTGCCCGTGACTAGATCCCGTGGGTATCAGAGCAGATCGCTCGCTGGACGTGTTCCGAGAATCGACGCTACTCTGTGCTCGCTCAAGGACGTAGATCTGGGCCTTCAATCCAGCGTAACTAGTTGAAGCATTCAGCTAAGACGTCTTGAGAGGAAGGCCCGAACGCACTCCATATATTTTTCCAACCATTCTGGTGCCGAATTGTACTGCAAGGCTGTCCTGAAACAGACATAAGCGCCAACCTTGTGTGATGGCCAAAGCTACGGACTCGAATTTCATGGCAAAATCTCGAGCAGGATCTGGTCTCGCTCTTCGAGGCTCAATGGGCTGTAAGGGTAAGTACTCTCGACTGCTAGTACCTTTGCGGAACCAGCTTTGAACGATACCGGCCAGAATTGGAGAGCGACGGTTTGGCTGGTTGTTGAGGTGATCGTCCGTGCACAAAGGAGATGCTTCTACGAAGCGTTGATGACGAAACCTCGCCAAACTGAGTTAGGGTCCTGGCAATAGTGGAAGAGACAGGGGTTTGCAACTGTACAATGCATGTGAAGAATATCAAAATACCAAAAGATACAAGCTCATGGATAGAAATAAAAAGATAGAAATGCCATTCCGGTAGATGCGAAACAGCTCTAATTGGGATGGAGATGATCAACTAAACATGAGGGATAGTATTGCTTACAACATTCGAACCAAGTACAAGGTTTTAAAGAATGGACCCACGTTACATCTTTGCCGCACTTGGACATCCTCATGCAGAGCCCAACAAATCACCAAACTCGCCAGTTGACACCATCTCCTTGATCTGCCAAGCAATAATAAGCCATGATATTAACAGAGTGACAGCGTGCGTACAATATCCAATCCACCAACAAACTCGCCGTTCACAATGAGCTGGGGGAAGGTCGGCCAATTGTTGATAACCTTCAACCCTAGAAATCTGGTTAGGGATTGAGGGAACATCTCATGGTGCTGAAAACTTACCCGACCGTACACAATCATCCGAGAGAATATCGAAATGATCAAATGCGACGCCCTGCTTCTTCAGAATCTCCACGGTCTGTCGAGAGAATCCGCAGCGTGGCGCCTCAGGAGTTCCTTTCATGAACAGCACGACCTTGCTCCGATTCATGAGGGACTTCAAGCGGGCGTTCATCTGTTCGGGAGTTTCACTCTCTGAAGCGGTGCCAGCACCATTATTGAGATGGGAAGCAAGGGCGTTCTGCAATGCTTGTGCATCCGCACCGGAAATGCGGCTGAGCAACGTGTGTCCCTGAAAAGGAAAGTCCACAGTCAGATGGCGCGAGCCGAAGAGATGGGTCGGCAAAAGGCGTACTCTGAGTAGGATGAGTGACGGGACAGCCTCTATCTCAAACGACTCTGAAATGTCGGGTTGTTCCTCTGCCTCGATCTGGTACCCATGATATCAGCGCTGTCATCGAGAGCTCGGGCACATGCGTTGTCTGACCATAAGAACGAGCAAGGAAGGATAGCGCTTCGCGGTTTCCAACACGACCTCGTTCATTTGTTTACAAGGGGCAGCCCATGGAGCCCAAAAGTAGAGCAAGGAAACCCGAGTGAGATCCTCGGAAAGAAGTGCTTGGAAATGGGCCGGTGAATCGACGGGGTGATAATTCGAGGGTGTTGCCATTGGAGGATGTGTGAGGAGAGCGATAAGGACTGAGTGGGATCTAATCGGTTGAGGGGTGGGAGTATAGAAGAGTTGCTCGAGTGTACAGAGCTGATGGCGTTGCGGTCCAAGGACAGATGAGTGTTTATAAATCAGGGAGGGGATTGCGCAAGTCGAAGGTGCAGACGAGAAAGGCGAAAGCTGGACGGCACAAGGGTCCCGCCAATCGGCTGGTGTGGATGACGTAAACAGAAAGTTATCGGATTCTTCGGATCCAAGCAAGGCACAGCACAGCACACAACACACACCCTCGTGCCCTCTCGCAAATTTCCGTGTCCCATCCACTCACCTTTCCCTGTCCGGTGGTACCGTCCCACCAGCGATCCTTCTTCCCAAACCGCCATTTTGCCCTCATCCCATTCTACTCATAAAACGCACGTCGACAGGCACTCCTCTCTTCCCTTCCACCTGGACTGCTGAATAAAAGGTGGTCCCCAAAACTTGCCCATCATTCCTGCGTTAGATCCTAGATTGCTCCACAGAGAGTACGTGTTTAGATCCCCAGCGTGTCAAGGGAAGACTCACTGACCTACATACTCCCATCTAGGTGGTGCTCTGTTCGAGGTCTGCACTCTCTTCTATCTTCTCTAGTCCGTCCTGCTTATCAGTGTAACTAGGTGATCCCCCTTGACGCCCACCTTGGCTACGCCACTGTTCTTTGCCTCCCTTCTGCTTCTTTGGTCTTACAGTTATCCCCGGGCGCTTCGCTAGAGCGAAGACCAGAGGGATCCGACTGAGATCAACCACAACATACCAAAAAAATCCGACACGTCATCAATCTCAATGCTCAAGACTTACGCTCACGCCGACCCTCCCCTGTCGGTATACCTAACCCTGTACGAGGACGTGCCCGACACTACACCCGTCGAACAGAATCCATGCCCCGTAGAATCTAAATCACCTGACACCCACCTCAACCATGTTAATACCCCGACTTCGATTGACGAAGATATCGACACCGAGGACGTGGACGGCTTTTTCGCAGATCTTCCCCCAGTCCTGCGAGGCGAGCCTCGAGACGTCATGCGTCGTCTTGTTCGGGAGAGACAGGCAGCCACTGACGGCGATGTGGATGCAGAGAAGGCATTCTTCGTTGCAGATCTTGGCAGCGTCTGGGCTCAGCACATGAAGTGGAAGCGTCATTTTCCTCGTGTGCATCCGTACTATGGTCAGTATATTATCCTCCCCTCCCTTATTTAAGTTCTGATCATAGTCTCATGTAGCCATCAAATGCAATCCGGATCCCTATGTTCTTCGTTTGCTTGCATCCTTAGGTGCTGGCTTCGACTGCGCATCATACGGTGAAATTTCCAGTGTTCTGTCCATCCGAGTCGAACCGTCTCGCATCATCTTCGCCAATCCGTGCAAGCCTGTGTCTTTCATTCGCAATGCCGCACAACTGGGAGTCAATATGATGACATTCGATAACGTGGACGAGTTACACAAGATTGCCCGGATTCATCCAGGAGCTCAGCTGGTTCTGCGCATTTTGACGGACGACTCCAAAAGCATGTGCAGACTAGGCTTGAAGTTTGGTGCGACACTGGCCTCTGTCCCTCTCCTGCTCACCACTGCCAAGTCACTCCATCTAAACGTAATCGGCATCAGCTTCCATGTAGGCAGTGGATGCTACGATCCCCACTCATTCGTAGACGCAATTGAACGCGCCCATATCGCCTTCAATATCGGACGAGACATCGGATACCGCTTCATGCTGCTTGATATCGGAGGTGGTTTCGAGTCTAGCGGTTTTGAACAAGCATCCGCCGTTGTCAATCGTGCCTTGGACGAATATTTTCCCGCTCAAGACGGTGTCCGCGTAATATCCGAACCGGGTCGCTTTTACGTTGCCAGTGCCTTCTCACTGGCAACCAATGTGATAGCAAGACGCCCTGTTGCACTATTTCCTGGAACGGCCGAGAATACAGATGAGGACGAACCTACCATCATGTGTATGACTCCTTTGTGCTCTTATGATCCCCTCTGACACCTCTGCGTAGACTACATCAACGACGGTGTTTACGGCTCATTCAACTGCATTCTTTTCGACCACCAGGTCGTTCATCCCTATGCAATCACGATCAACCGCCAGTTCCTGCCCAGCGAACCTAACCCTGTTGCGACATGTAGTGTGTGGGGACCAACTTGCGACGGTATTGATTGCGTAAAATCCCGTGCCATTTTGCCTTCTGGACTGGAAATCGGCGATTGGATTGGTTTCGATAACATGGGGGCCTACACCATCTGCGCAGCCAGCCAATTCAACGGATTTCAAGAAAGTGCCGTGCACTACTGCTTTGGCACCGGACAAGGTCCTCGTGCTGTTCGAGATGCTTTGCGAGACTATCCGTTTGCTAAATAATCAAATTTGGCAGTGCTGCCTCTTGTGATAGAGTCGAATAGTATTAAGCTCCGGTCTTCAATCTAACAGTGTTTATAATGTGCACCCCTGGGTAGAAAGTTCGTCCACCGCAGGTAGATCAAGTAAGGGGTCTTCATTAATGAGTGGTTTAAACGCAGACGATATGATGACTCTCAAAGGGCCCTGTGTGAACCCTGAGCACTACTCACACTTGGTTCAACACACAATCCAGTATGAAGTTCAATATTGATGGCTTGCCTGTACGCATTCGCCAGTCATCAGTTAATACATCAATTGAGCGTGTATATTGCAGATTATTTTCCCCTACGATCGCATATATCCTGGTAATCTCGAACCTCGTTCATATCTATGTCTTCAATCTGACGGTGGCATCCCAGAACAATACTCGTACATGTGTGATTTGAAGAAGACGTTAGATGCACAAGTAGCGGTATCATTTGAGCCCATGTCCTAGTCCTCATTTGTTTACAAGGGTCATGGAGTGCTCGAAATGCCTTCGGGGACGGGCAAGACAGTTTCCCTTCTATCGCTGATCGTGTCATATCAACAGGTCGGTCCAGCTCTAACGTCGTCCCTTCGTCATTGAATTCATTTGACTTGCAGCATTCGCCACACCCTCGCAAACTAATTTATTGCTCACGAACGGTGCCTGAAATCGAGAAAGCCCTTTCTGAGCTCCAGCGACTTATGAAATATCGTGTTTCTCAGGCCGAGACTCCAGAAGAGCGGATGAAGGAAGAAAGCTTTATCGGTCTGGGATTAACCAGCAGAAAAAATCTCTGCCTCCACCCTGATGTTTGTCCTCGTCAAACCTAGACATGCGGACTCCGTGTGATGACTTGAGTTGACTTTAGGTGAGCAAAGAGAAGAAGGGCAAAGTGGTGGATGCTCGGTGTCGTGATCTAACCAACTCTGCCGCCTGCGAAAAGGGGCGAGCCAACCCCGGCTCGGTACCTCTATGTGACTGGCACGAAGTATGTGGATCTTTCTCAAGCCAGTGAGTCTCTCATCTTCGCCATAGAGACTCGGGGAAAAAGAACCTGGCAACTTGATCCCTCCGGGTATCTATACTCTGGCTGAAGTTCTCCAGTATGGGAGGGACGAAGGTGTATGCCCTTACTTCACCATCCGGCGCATGGCCAGTCCATCCTCTCTTCCTCGCAGAGCTGTACTGACGAAGGTGCATTACAGATGCCATTTGTGGATGTTATCATATACTCCTTTCACTACCTGCTGGATCCCAAAGTCGCGGAACAAGTCTCCAAGGAATTCTCCAAAGACGCAATCGTAGTTTTTGATGAAGCTCATAATATTGGTAAGGGAAGGATAATTGTAGTTGCCTCATGAAGTTTACCCTAACGTCGCAGATAACGTGTGCATCGAATCTTTGAGTATCGATCTGACGAGGCCGATGCTAGACTCTGCGACACGCAGTGTGGTCAGATTGACAGAAAAGATTGAAGAGTGAGTCCAAGATGGCGGGCTTTCATCTGATCATCACAGAGTGAACTACATTCAGAATCAAAGAGACAGACGCATCAAAACTCCAAGATGAATATGCTAAGCTGGTCGAAGGGCTCCAGGAAGCGAATAACGAGACCTCAGATGAAGATGCTTTTGTAGCCAATGCAGGTATGTTAGCTGCACTATGGCGCTAAAGCGCCCAGTTCTCACTCATGACACACTCAGTATTACCGGATGACCTCCTCAAAGAGGCGATTCCAGGCAACATCAGAAAAGCCGAACATTTTATCGCTTTCTTGAAGCGCTTTGTTGAATACCTTAAGGGACGAAATATCTCCTGTCGACTCCCGTGATGGCTAATTTTTTGAAATCAGACAAGAATGCGCGTACTACATGTGGTCGCAGAAACACCCCTTTCGTTTCTGCAGCATCTGAAAGACATAACATATATCGAGCGTCGACCCCTTCGGTCAGCCTCAACCCTAAGAAAGTCCAGGTCATGCTAAACTCACTTGGATAGGTTTTGCGCAGAACGCTTGCAATCGTTGGTCAGAACATTGGAACTGAATCAGCTCGATGAGTATTTCGCATTGCAAAAGGTTGCCAGTTTTGCTACATTAGTCGCAACATACGAGAAAGGTGCGTATATCTGTATCTAAGTCCCAAACCTGCCGAAGTATACCAACTCGACTCAGGTTTCCTTCTGATTCTGGAGCCTTTTGAGACGGAGACAGCAACTGTCCCGAACCCCATATTCCACTTTACGTGAGACCAGGTATATCATATGTGGCCATCCATTTACATTTGCGACAGTTGCCTGGATCCATCACTCGCCATCAAACCAATATTCGAACGCTTTAGCAGCGTCGTCATTACTTCCGGCACGATTTCACCGCTTGACATGTACCCCAAAATGTTGCAATTCACTCCGGTAATCCAAGAGTCGTATCCCATGACGTTGACGAGAAATTGCTTCCTGCCCCTTGTAAGCAACATAACCAGGACGCTCAAAAAATTCATTTCATTCTCTGCGACTAAAGGTCATCACCCGCGGCAGCGATCAAGTCGCCGTAAGCTCGAGATTTGAAGTCAGGAATGATCCTGCGGTAGTACGTAACTTTGGCAGTATTCTCATCGAGTATAGTAAGATCGTGCCAGACGGCATCGTCGCTTTTTTCCCAAGCTACCTGTACATGGAGTCGATTGTTGCAGCATGGAACGATATGGTATGCCGCATGTATACCGGAATTACACTGCCCTTCTGACTATAGTATAAAACATTGCACAGGGCATCTTGAATGAAGTCTGGAAGAACAAACTCATATTCGTTGAGACACCGGATGCCAATGAGACAAGCATCGCACTAGAAAACTATAGACGAGTTTGTTTTACTCGTTCCCATTGACCAATAAGCTGAGTGTTCCACAGGCATGTAACAACGGTCGAGGCGCAGTGATGCTCTCAGTCGCCCGTGGTAAGGTTTCAGAGGGTATCGACTTTGATCATAACTATGGTCGCGCCGTGATCATGTTCGGGTGGGTTGTCCTCTCTCTGCTTGGTGGATCATGGTTAACACGGTGTAGGGTGCCTTACCAATACACCCAAAGTCGAATTCTCAGGGCTCGTTTAGAGTACCTCCGAGATGCTTACCGCATCCGAGAGTCTGAGTTCCTGGCATTCGACGCAATGAGGAATGCTGCACAATGCGTCGGGCGTGTCTTGCGAGGGAAGACAGACTGGGGATTGATGGTGTTCGCGGATAAGGTATACCAATCTAACCCATTCTGAGGGTTCTACCGAAGCTGACATCTTCCAGCGGTATGCACGTGCCGATAAGCGTGCTAAACTACCGCGGTGGATGAACCAATATATCAGCGAAACAGCCTCAAACCTGTCAACGGATATGGCCATTGTACTTTCGAAGTTATTTATGCGCCAGATATCACAAAATCCGAACGAGAACCAAACTGGGATTTCACTGTGGACCCTCGAGCATATCGAGCAAAGACAGGCCGCGGAGAGGGAGATGACAGCACAAATGCAAGTCGACGAGAAGCGAGAAATGCGGCCTGATAGAGAAGGTTCTGCTACGTCAGAAGATGAGTTCATCGAATCCTGGAGAAGTTCCGAGACGATGAATTGTTAGACGTGCCGATGTAACCCCGACAACTATAGGATGACTGTTCGCGTGACCTACAGGATTGGCGCAAGCTACACACCTCGCAATGCAAATCAGATGTCACGGGTTCAGTCCTCCACACAGAATCCCCTGAAAAATCAATGGAATTATGTATACAACGGGAACATACTCATTCCGTGTGCACTTCTGCTGTTATGCCCTTGGCAATACCCACTCTCAGGAAGACCCTTCTAAGAGCTTCCCTGACTTCGGGCGTAAGGTCGCGTGCCAGCAGGTCTGTTGCTAGAGGGTATAATGCAGAAAGGTATAAATCGAACTAAGCCCAAGAACAGTCATTGTTGATAAAGCTCTGCAGCACAGATTTTCAGGGTACTCACGTCACCATCAGCCAAGTTGGAGAAACCTTGGAGGACTTCCGCAATGATGGGCGACCAAGTAACAATGCTTTTGGATTGTTTTGCAGCGCGGAGACCATTGAAGTCCTTCAAAATCCCTAAGCACAGCCTACCGCATGGTCAGATAATTTGGTTATGGATCGTTGCATTTTGTACGTACGGAATTAGCCTCTCAGAAATTCGCCCACGCCCGCCCTCCCGATCGACGCGCTCGTCCTCATACATGCGTTGGAGAACCTTAACTAGCGTAGCGGCACTGCTCGATTCTTGTTTCAGGAGATTGGGCAAATGCTTCATGAAACCTAGAAGAAAGAACAGCTCCTCAGCCCAGACACATGTGTCCCAGATACATCGACACCGACCTGCCTTCCAGAGACCTTTCCGCAATTCCTCGTCTGCGTTGAAGTCCCGAGCGAATTGGTAGCTCTGATCGAGAACAGCCATTAGTCGGAGCAAGTGCTCTGGTGGGATGGTACTGTAGACTTCGTCGTTTTGCAGGAGTTCATGTGTCGTCTCAATGAGCAATAGCTGAAGAACGCATTTCACGATGATCTGTTTGAATGTCTGCTTTCGCTGCGCCGCTGAGATATCGTTCTGCCGCGGTCCGGAATCTGAGGATAAGGGTGCCGGTATTATATTGGGGCCAGGTGACTCTGCTAATGGCTTTCAGACTGATGAGAGGCAAGCATTAGGAGCATGCACAGACCTCCTGTGACCTCCCCTACATTCACGTCCTCCAGGTCAGTCCTAAGAGACTCGTCTAGTAACTGGTACGGAGTGGTGGTCTTGAAAAGCTTGACAAATGTGGTGATGACGCGTTCCCATCGCTGAGGGCTTAACTTGTGAACATTCTGCTCGAGTAGCTGCTGAAAGCAGGATGTCCCAATACGTGCGAGTGTATCATTTTCTGCCATGCACATGAGGTGGGAAGGTGGCCGACTTCACCGTAGAAAGTTTACGCACCTTGACAAATGCAAACAACGAGTAGCTCGAGCAGCCCGTCCAAAGTCCGTTCCAAGGTCTCAAAATAATGTGTATAAAGATTGATCAGTTCTCGCAAGGCTTGTATCATTGTGGTTGATAACCACACGCTCATGTCTTCCTGGGTGCTAAAGCGAGAAAGGTCCTGGGAACGAAGAACCGAAAAGATGGGGAATAAAATCTCGCGACAGACCATATCCCAGAATTCAGCTGAGAAGGTGCTACCATAAGCTCGCAGGGCGTCGAAGAGGGAGTCTAGCGCCCTGCACAAACTTGAGCGCTTCCAAATCTACAACCTGAACGAAGGACTTACAAACGTCGAACTTCCAAATCCTCCCCATTCATGATGATATCATAGAAGCTGAATAGCACCGGAAACCAGAAACGGATCATAGGGTCATCAATGGTTGCGAAATTAGTACCACCATCAGGTCCGGACTTGAGAGAGCAGTCGGGTGTATCCAGCATAGTCGGGATGACACTCCGAAGCATATTGATGGAAAGAAGACTGATTTTCTGGAACTTGCTAACTTTGGAGAAATCCGTCAGACAGACCGTAAGATCTGCAAATGAACCATAGCGGACTATGGCGGCGAATTGGTCGTTGTAAAGCTGAGTCACAATCTCAAAGGCATAATTTGCAACGCCGACTGAAGGTGATCAGCAAAAATTAGCCATATCTGGAAGAACATACGATTTGGTACTTTCGAGGCCGCTGAAAAGACGCCAAACATCGTCCGCCAGCCAGATCTCATGTTCTCCACCTGGCCTTGGATAAGTCGATGCAAACATTGCAAGACCTACAACGTTGCTTAAGAGATGCCTTCCTGGGGTCGAAATAACCATACCAGCTCTCGGACATCGGGGTTAGAATTATGAATCATGGTGTATTCGAATGGCTTGAGGAAGTCTTTTTGGAATTTGAAGTGAGGCAACTCTTCTTTTTCCAGAAAACGCTTCGCGAGTTGTCGCAATGCATCCAAGGCGAAGATAGCAACGGATGGATTATTATGGCAGCAGACCTAGAACAATGTGGACAAACGTACTGCGAGGGACAAGCCGAACTCACCTGATTAAAATGCTCGCCTAGAATCATCCAAAGGCCTGACCACTCGATACGAATGCGGTTCATATTATAATACGATATCTCCACAAGCTTCTGCAGGCTGAAAAGTCGCGGTCGTTCGGACATCCCGGAAGACTGGATTTCTTCAGTCGACACATCACAGAGGGCCTTAACGAAGTCCAGAATCGCAGCCTCCGCATGTTCGATCAGCACAAGGAAGTCTGTGGTCTCGTTATACACACCCCACTGAGTTTCTCGCTCCAGCTGAACACCATATCCGCCGATACAGTGATCTGGGTAGATCTGCTAGCGTGCGCAAGCTCTTCTACTGGTTTCTTCGAGCGGTGGAGTTGTGACTTCCTCTGCGTTTGACTGAGAGGACACATGAGTCACCCGTATCAAAGGATCATAGCAGTGACCTACCTCTTTCGGGTTGCAGAGACCCCTTCATTACCATCGCTGATGAATTGCAAGCGCTCCAGTTGACTGACGCAACTCAAGATCTCGTGCCACGTCCCCTTCAAGTTGTCCTTGACCCCGTCTGATGTTGACAGCTCTAATAAGAGCTTGATTGCTTCCATGTGCTTCACCTTCATTTCACCCAGGTTGTTGAGAAATGTGAATTTGGCCAGTGTCGTCATGAATGCATTCCTTTCTAGATCGAGATCAAAGAAGCAAGCAATTCTAATTGCGTGCTTGAAGCCTTCTAGACACAGAAGCACAACATCCAGATCGTCAGTGTCCTGCATAGGTCCAGATATTCCGGCCAAGAAGGACATCCAAGCTACCTCAAACATGGGCCGCACATGTACATGATGAGATGCACTAAAGAATTGCTCGCTCGGGCGTGGTGTCCCGCGTCTTTGTGTCCGACTTAGATTCCTGAATAGTGCCTACATAAGGTACATTAGTATGGACTTACGAAACCGAATCTCAAGTACCTCTGTCCGGTTAGCCATGCCAAGGGACTGCATGACGTAGGCTTCCCGTTGCAGGTCTCTTCCAACGTTCGCTAGTGCATTGACTAGTCCCTGAGACGGTATGACCTGGCCAGCAGAGGATTCTGCTTCGTCCTTCATGCGGATTTCGTTCGATACGATTTCGTCATAGATAGGCGATAACACCTCTTCCGGAAGATCGGAGCCATCGTTTATACCACGGTTGTTCCGGATGAAATCCGCCTTAGACATGCGTACTTTGACCTGTGGGTTGTGGGCATCCGTGTTGAGAAGAATCGTAGAATATGATAGGACATAGGCCGTGTCTCCAGAGAAGTGTTAGTCAAACGGTGGAATACTGTGAAATACAACAGACCGGCGTTGGCAAATGACGTATGCACATTGCCAGCAATGTATCGCTCTGCGAACTTGAGCATGAACCTGTCGATTTTCTGGGCTTCGCCTGGTAGCCGGAATGACTGCAGAAAAAGTCGAAGGGCATCCACAAAAGGAAGGTTTGTGAAATCCAGCATATCCACGAATGCATGCATGATCGCTACATTCTCATCATCGCTACAGAGCGCAATCAGTTCAATACATCGATCTGCGGCATTTCACTGTACCCTTCACCCAGATATTCCCCAACCATGGTCTTGCTCAGACCATCAGCGTGGAGTAAGAAGGCCGCCACATCCTTGGGATTTTTACTGCGAATGAAGCCATTCTCGATGAGAAATTGAATACCCTAGGCTGGTAGTAAGTGTTGTGTCAGCCCTCAAGAATTCAAGGGGCTTACTCGTTTGGGTTTGAAGTTGAATCTTCTAATGCCCTCCAACAATGTGGTCTTCCGCTGCTTCGCGCTTTCGAATTTTTCGGGGTCGTCAGAGCTATCAGGGGTAGAAATTCGATCGGGTAATCTCTCGAGGGAGGGGGTTGCAAGGCCGGCTGTTTCTGGATGACTCGCGTTAATCAGGCGATCGTCACTTCCATTCTGTCGAATTTCAAGACTGATTCCTCCGTTCGTTGTTGTGCCCCAAGTTGCTAGAGATCGCAGAACTGCGACCAAACATTCCAGACTCTGAAGCTTCAGTGTGCTTTCTGAGACCGATGTTGATGCGTCATCGGCAGCGCTGACAGCGGCTGTACTGTAAGATGGAGGAATAGAAGTAACGTCGACACCGAATTTGGCCTGTTTGATGGATGTGCTATTCAGATCGGCGCTTTTCCCTTGCAGTATGGTAAGATAAGTTGAACTGTGACGAGATATGATGTTCATCAGACTAAATCTTGATCAGCTCCCACTCAAACCAAGTAACGAAGACCGCACTGTTCGTAAATGTTATCCAATGCGGTCCGGTCACAATCGTAGTTCAGGTATAACTCCACCACTGCCTGAGGATCTTCGCACAAACGCTGGAACATGCCCATTACTACTGACTTCTGCTTGATAGTAGAATTGCGCATTTCCAAGATTGGAATGAAGATCTCGTGGAGCAATACCTCTATCTCTTTCTGGATGACAAAATGAGAGAGTGGAACCAAGGCGTTTCAGTCAGATCTGACCTTCAATCTAGTGCGCATCCCCGACATGACCCTCCAAAAGATTTCGACGCTGAGCTCGAATACCTGCGGGACAGGGCTGACAGCATTTCGGCTCAGGCTCAAACAAATATATTGCTTGGTTGCCTGTAGGAATGGTGTGGTTTCGCTTGACGACCCTGAAGGGATGGCAACTGAAGGCTCAACGAATATAGGCATATGTGCCGTAAGAATGGTCAAGACTAAATGAAGTGATAGTAACTTGGATCGCATGGCGTGAGACTTGATGTCTCTTTCGCTGTATTCGTAATAGGCATTGATGGCCATGGACGCATGACTAGTCACTCACCTGTCCGTTCCCAGAGACTTCATGGTCAGCTTGCATAGCGCTCGAAAGACTAAGAAGGCGTCTTTGATGAAGAGATCGTTCGTTGTCACATGTTTCGGGACACCAGTCTGTAGATCCCCATCACCCATCTGATCGTGGGGATTCGGATTTTCGAATGAACTCCTACAACACGTAAGATCCTGGCGAAAACATGCAGTAGCAATTACTAACAAGGTTAAGACTGGACGCTCAGCTGATGCAGGTAGCTGTGATGGTCTCGTCTCTCCAATGCCTGTGGAATTATTGACCAAGCTTATCCCCTCTGGCACAGAGGTTTCCAGTCCATTCGTCTCCCCTCCTTGGCTTGCCTCACTCGTGGTGTCCCCAGACGAAACTTGGAGGCTACTTCGTTCGACGTCTGGCATAGACGGTGGTGCATGCAGTTGTGAAGACTCGCCAGCCAGTGATGCAGCTGCTGATCCGTTCGTCGATCTCGCCGGTGATGTTGTTTCGTCGTCATCCGCATTTTCCAGATTTGGCGTAATGGACCTGAAGCTGGCATCTCCGTTGATTGCGCTAGGTATGCGACAACGGGCGAAGACGTGCAGGACCATTTGGGTGAGTCCGCCTTGCGCGACAGCTTGGCTTTCACTATCGCTGCTGAGAAGAAATATATTATAGACAGTACGGACTGCCTTCAACAGAGACGAATGATGAACCAGCAAGCTTGGGGACATGACCAGGGCAAGCAGAGCTTTGACAATTTGGAGGCTTACAGTAGACGGGGTCGACTCGGTGTGACAAGCGGTTATCGTATGTGTGATGAGATCTGGAAAGGGCAATCTCTGATCAACGTTTTGGCCAATGACAGGTGGAGTATTGGGTACACGTGGCGACTGAAGCGGAGAGGTCGTCTTAATCTGCGGCGTTGTTTCCATAAAGAAAGAGTGTGAGATGAGTTTTGCGATACAGTCAATGGATGCGATCTGTAGTCTTTCATTCCTTGTTTCGCAAGCTAATCGCAGAGGCTCGAAGATTTCTCGTGACCTGGTTGGCGTAGCTTGTCGAGACCGGGTGAGCTCCAGCGCGTGCTGCGTTGAGGTGAGAAAGTCTTTTGAGCGTTTAGCTTCACGAGACGAGCTGATGAGTTCTAATGCTGATGTCAAGCTGACGGTCACAGCGGAAATCACCGAGCCGGACGATTGAGATATGGTGGACATGGCTGTTGACGACCGACGACCAGGAGTCTGTGTCGACGCCCCAGGAACGACAGGCGAAGACGGCGCTGCCGGATACGTGTGATAGGTAGCAGCCGGGGAGGAGGGTCTCGGTGAGTGCGACGGAGTGTCCTCTTTCATGACAGTATCGATAGTGTGCTCTGGTGGTGGATTATCCAGGACGACGTCTTGTAAGCTGGACGTCGAGGTGCCAGGGTCGATCTGAATGGGTGATGCGGTTTCTTGCCGGTCGTCGGCCTCCGACGAAGGTGTGGAGGAGCCAAAGTCAATAGTGACAATGGGAGCGCTTGTGCCCTTTGAGGGCGTCGGCGGGCCCAGTGCCGGCCTAGAATCGTCTGCATGCACGTTGACCTGGTTGTTCACCTGGGGATGGCCGTCGCCGTTAGGCAGCTCGGGAAGCGCTTTGGAGGGGGCCAGAGTCATCCCGTTTATATCGGAGCTGCCAGACATATTATGCAAGTCAGGCTTGCTGAGCGCCGAGGGGCAGTGAGTCCTTCAGTTGTCAATAGTCGAGCAACCACAATCAACAGCACTGAGTCGCCGTTAGGAAGAACACGCGAAGTGCAGCGCGTCCCGTACGACGATGAAGCACCGCGCCACTCTCGCCTCGCCACTTCTCCGATATTCCATTGATTTCCCCCCTTCCCCCTTTACCCGCCCCCAAAAACCTTGTTCTTACAGGAGTCGTACTCACGAGTCCAGAAAATGGTTTGTTTGTTTAATGAGGATATCAAAATAGATGATTGGTTATCCTGCTGCATGTCTCGGCACTTTTGGTGCTACACGTGACATCCTAAACGAACTGGAGGTCTCAGTCGCCCGTGCTTAATCTTTTGCCGGCAACTGGGATGCGAGATAGGGAAGTTGCTGCACCAAAGTTACAGTGCTATCGTTGCTGCACGCTAGAAGATTGGATGCTATGAAGACCTCATCTCCAAAACAGCCCATAATAGACGACGTGTACTCACGCACCGGGAGCAATATTCCTAAATGTAAACAACTACCAATGTGTGCAATCTAGGTATCACCAGTCCTCCCCAAATAATGCATAGCTAACAAGTTGCAAGGGCTCACCTAGGCCCCCTATTTTCTGGTCAAACTACAAAGAGCTGAACTGCTTCATATCACATCCTGCCATGTGAGTCACACAAGACAAGCTTGCTATGCATGTCTTCTTTACCACCAAACTCACTGCACATGACAACCCTTGGTCCAGAACACAGCCAATATCTATGGTGGAAGATTGATTTCCCTGCATATTTCCCCTGCATGGTCTTTCTTTTCCTTGCCATCAGGTGCACAATCTGCTCTATCAGCAAGTTGTAGGTTCAGGCTTGATGGCCCTGAGTTTCAATGGCAAATGAAAACATAGTTACCAAACAAACATCTGATCAAATTTTCAAACAAGGCTGCATTATTGATGTACATCAAACTATTGTGTGCCCTGATAGCATGGGTCCAAGTATTCTGGGGTTCACTAGAGATATATCCCAATGACCAGCACTTGCCCTGCCAACTTCAGTGTACAGGTTTACAAGAGATATTGCTGGTACGAGGTAGAAGAATATAGCAAGATCCAGGCCTCTCAACTAAGATTCCATGAGCCCAAACTGGCAGTATGCTCGTAGTCAAGATGTCTGTCAAAGGGAGTCTGGGTCAGACAAAAATACTGCATCTGTCTGGTAATCAGAGGTACCCTATCAGACATTGCAGTCTCATATAATATACTTGATTCTCATGATCTGCCTGAAAGAGTCAGCTCCTGAAGTCCCACCCCCCTGGCCCCAGTGAGCTTGTTAATTTCTGCACCTGACACTCCTGCCTCACCCTGCAGAGCATCTGGCCTCCTTCTTCACCCTGTTTGGAGGAACTGCCATGGAATGAAGGCCCAAACAAGACACCAAGAGGGATAGTGAGCATTTGCAATGATCAAACCTTGAGGTAAGACATAGTGATGCCTCTGACTTGCAGGAGTCTCCAGAAGTAGTGGGGCTGTTGGGGCTCTGATAGTAACCACAAGGTATATATGCAGTAGCATGGCAACACTATAATCCCACTAAGTCTACTTTTGCTGCACTTTAGTTCGCTGTAACCAGCTTCTATCACCTCTGGGACCCCCAGTGACCCCTTTTGAATACCTCAACATCCAGCTGGCCCTAGTCACTTGGATATCAATTAGTACCCTTGCCTGGAACCCTCTTCACCTGCTGGAGCCCCACTCTTTTGCTAGACCCAGTGCCCTCACAATTAGCCTGAGAAATCTATGAAAGATATGATGAAAGGGAAAACTATGTATGATAGGCAGAGGCACTCACAGGAAGGCAGCTCAGTACTGCACAGAAATGGTTACCTCAGGGCTCAGGGCTGGTTGCAGTCTTTTTGACTGGGGTCTTGTTTGAGGTGCCAATGTTTCCATGTCTCATTGTAGTTTCCTTCTTGGGTTTCAGCATCTACAAATCAATCCCTGGGCTTTCTATAACACTTGTGCCAGCCTACAACACCCCTGAGATACCTGGCCAGCTAGCCTCATGGAGTCAATGATTAGTTGAACACAGTCTCATCCAGGTCAGCCACTCAGGAGGAGACAGAATATGCATTCTGCAGGCTCAGGACATATGGTTTTCTATGATTTGCTACATGACCAAGTCAACATGATAATGATGGCTCAGATACATGGTACAAGTTGCAAGACAATGAATCTGCAGTGCCTGCAGGACCTCACTATGGGCACTCATATATGAGCTCAGAGGCTTCATTCATTGTCCCGTATGCCTGTATGCTTGACACAAATGCTTTCAAAGGTCCCAGTTCCAATTGGCCTGACCAGAGTGAGTCAGGGAAGGAGCATCCCCAGCCACTCCCACACTAGCACCATGCTTAATGCAACTTGAAGGCCAGATCTGGAAAGAGCTCTTTCCCTGATACAAATATGATTCCATCAGAAATGCTCTACTCTGCTGACTACAGTGGCTATCGTAAGCTGACTGATAATGGATGGAGCTTCAATATTATGAGAAACAACACTTTGGTAATGATTGACCCCTCCCTGACATTATAGAGGCAGAAAATCTCAACTTGGGGGGTGGTACAGGCTGAGCTCATGTGGCTGATCCCCCCCCCCCCCCCCCCCCCCCCCAACT